GAAGGAAAGGGAAAGAGAGGGTAGGGATGGGAGAGACAAGGAAGGGGAGGGGAAGAAAGGGTAGGGATGGGAGAGACAGGGAAGAGGGGCGAAAGAAAGTGTAAGGATGGGAGAGACAAGGAAGAGGAGGGGAAGAAAGGGTTGGATGGGGAAGAAAAGGGAAAGGGAGGGTAGGGACAGAACAGGTAATATTGAGAAGGAAAAGAAGGAACGAGGAGAGAAGGGTGAGAAACAAAAGAGAATATTAAAGGAGACAGAAAAAGGACGCATCTAAATCACTCACTTTAAGCCTATAACTGCGACCTACATTCTTGAATGAGAAGCGGAGGAGTGCGACATACATTCTGGAATTCAAACGTTTTGAATTAATGCACACGTGTTACCATAAGATATACAGTATATGCCTACTTATAGCTCAAGCATTCAAGATCCATTGAGAGTGATGTTGAAAGCTTCAACTATAATAACTTTTAATGAAATGGCCAAAGAAGTAGAGTGTTGGGGTGAGCAATAGAGGTTAGAATCCTTTTTCTACCCTATGAGAGACTGGCTGCCAAACTAAGATAAGTAATGGACTCCTTTTGGTTTCCATATTCTTCTACACACTATCTTTTAATCCACAAGCGTTAAAATAGTGTTTGGCAAAATCGATATACGTGTTCTTTTTTTCTTCTGTTTTTTTGCGTACTGGAGGGTTGATCGGCAAATCACTTTACCACAGTTATCGGGTTAAACTCCTGCGCACAGTTGAGGAAAATACCATAGAAGGTGTGGAAATTGAATTAAGACTCTACCTTAACTAAATGATTTCTCCTAATACGAGTTACGGAGAAAATATCTTTGAGAAAGTGAAAGTTGTTGTTCAGACCACGTGGTGGAGACATTACTTGGCCTGTAGCATCTCGTCAAATATCAGATAATGTATGTCTCTGTTCTACTGTAATGTTCTTCATCAAATAAAACCAATAAATAATAACACCCTTAAACAAACGAACAAATTAAACATACATGTGTCTGACAACATTTTCCTAACAACATTTACTATACATACTTGTTAATACATATTATATCTTCGTTCACTGTAGACATGGATAACAAATCATGATTAGACCTAGACATAGTATATCACTTTTTTCTTAGACCCTAGACATCGGCAATGCATCTGTTATGTGGTACCGTATATCTTTGAACAAGTAGGGTAATTACCTCTAAATCAAAGGTAATTACCCTACTCGTTCAGTGGGCTGAGGTAGACGAGCCTGGCTGGTGATAGTGTGTGGTGCAAGTGTGGTACAATTGGTCTGTACTCAGGATATATTTATATGGAGATAAGTGGTGTATACTTTTGTACTGTTCAAGTGTATGGTGAGGCTGACGTTAGGGTTTACGTTAATAATGGTTGTCTGTATTTCATTTGCTCCTTTACTTGTCCTTGTATGTATGCTCTCTAATTTTATTATATTAATAAGTAATGCAGTGTATAATTCCTCCTCAGTATCATGACCATAGTTTTAATTAACCTGAGTCTTATTGTTAAGAACCTGGTGGAGAAAAATAATGAGTCATGATAGCCTTTTCCCTGATAATTTTTGTGACCACTAGTGTCAGGAGTTTGGTTCTCTATATTTTGTCACAATCAAGCCTCACCTCTTACATGATTAGCCCTTTAACTGCTCATTATGTCAATGGGACCCACCCTCAAGTGCGCGTTATTTCGAGGATATGCAAACTTCTCGAAATACAATAATAAATATATCAACAGTTACATATGGACGAGAATAAATAAAATGCAGAGCATAAAAGCTGTACTCACTTTGAATAGCGTGCCACAGAAGAGTGAAGGGAGCTAGCACGGGAGGTCCCGCACGGAGGGTAGTGGTGGGTGTTGAGTGGAGGCATCAGGACATGTGTGTCAGTTTTCTATTATTAAATTATGTTGGTACCTTTACTTTTCTTCAACTATCATTGGTTAGACTTATTATATTGTTATCTGGGGGTTTATTTTACTATAATCATTACATAAAAAAGGATGCACATTTCAACACTACTCAAATACTATAAAATATTGTCCTGTATGATGCGTGGGTGGCTTGGGACAGTGGATAAGCGGCTAAGGCTTAGTGAGTGTCCAATATTAGAAAACAATTTATGTGAAAAGGAGCAGTCAGCAATAATGCCCATCCACGATAGGGGACAGGACCAGTTAATGGGCTAGTGACAAGATTTTGGTGAAGAGGAGTAATGGCATGACACATCATATACAGACATAACATAATATTTGTTCACCCTAGACACATAAGACATCAATAACTCCATTAATATGTTTCATACGTACACAGATCCGTGAGGCGCTACAGAAGATGGGTGCCATCCTGCCCATGAACATCTTCCTCAGACAGGAGCTGGACCGTATGCTCAAGGTATGAATAGTTTACATGGGGACTATTAAGGTGAAGTTTTTATATGACAATCTTTCCCATTCAGTAATTTGTTTCATATTCAGATTAAGACATACAGTATATGTCACAAAATTCAGAGCAATATGAGTGTCCACTTGAGGATTTTCTTAATATGTGACAGAAACATTGTAGAACATCTGAACAAAACCATTAGGCCATAAAGTAACATACAACAGTGTCAGGATTATAGTCTGTACACACCGTAAGAAAAAAAGGTATGAAAAGGGTTTTATAAGGGTCTAATGGCAAACCCTTTTAAGCTTATATGAATACCAATAAACCCTTGCAGATTTAAAGGGTTTATTATCATTCTCTAAACCCTTACTCTACAAAGGAGTATATAAACAAACCTCTTAGAAACTCTTAGTATGCCAAAGGGTATATCAGCTTTTTCAAGACCTTTACCCAAAAAAGGGTACTTAAGTACATTTAAAACCTTTAGCTTGCAAAAATGTATGTCAAGGTGAAGAGAAGCCTTATGAAAATAACTGAGCACCGCTTAGGTCCCTCTACCACCCAGTCCAGTCCTCACACATCCTTCAGTTACACCGTAGATGCTGTAAAAAACAATACTGCAAACACTATATCACCATACACAACCAAGTATGACATAGTGCTAGACCTGTGAGTTCCCGACCATTGGGTACACGCTCGCAACATTATGTTCTGACTATATTATAGTCTCTTATTAGTACCTCCACGACCCTCACCAACACTTTCACTCTCTGAAAAACTCCTTGTCGATTAAAATATTCCCTTTTTACGCAAAAATAGCCCCGGAAGCAGAGACATCATTTTGGTTTACTAGCACAACAAATACAAATTAGATTCCAAAGTGGCCATAGGCTCAGCGTCGCTCAACGTGGTGCTGATTGGCTGTGAAAAAGAAGTGCTCACTCAGCATATTTGAAACTGAGGGTGTTTTAAATATCTTCCTTTATCCTATATCTTTTTATTTCCTTTTCTTACTTCATTTTCTCCCCTACTCCTCATGCATAGGTGTACAATAGATTAGCTTAAGTTAAACATGATTATTAAATTAGATATTACATGTCAAGTCATTAAATTACCAACATTTTACTTCCATCTTCTCTTCGCCACACGTCCTCATGATTATATTCTGCTAAGATGACCCAAGTAGCATCATGTAACTAATCAGAAATACTTTTCAGTCCAAATTAACTTTTTTAGCTCATTAATTTACAAAGTAAATTGGGAACTGTACGAGTATTTCGTGTTGCCAAAACTCTTGGTTTGATGGATGAGGTATCCGACAACTTTAATAAGCAGTTATGTCAAAAGTCGTAATAAAACTAATTGCATTCTTACACGGAGATGCGGTAAGGTGAACGGGATCCTTGAGAAACACCACTAACACTGGTGTCCCACACACCTTTACACCTCCATGAGTAGTGCAAGCGGTTGCGCGCCACACCCGGGTGCACTATATTTGTCAATCTTTACAAAATACTGTTTAGGTCTTCAGGTCATTTAAAGGAAATGTATGTTTTTTGATGTTTCGGTATACACTCAGTGTTATATACCAATCATTTCTTAAAGATTAAAACAACAATATCTCGAGACAGAAAGAAAAATAATTAACTGGAAGAGTTAATATATGAACCATGGGCAACTTAAATGTGTATTATCGACAGCAATATACCCTACCATGGCCGAAAAAGGGTATTTTACATATTAAGGGGTATTTTGCAGTAAAATACCCTTTCCATACCCTACAAATTTTACTGTGTAGGGAGATCATTGATTACCATAATTTTGTCTAATCCAAAAACTCTACTTGGAGAGCTATTGCTGCAAAGCTTCGTCAAATTGAATTTACGTTGATAGAAGACTCATCATGGTGTCAAGTTTTCGTCAACTTACAGACCACTTTTGTCCTAACTATTCACACTGAAATGCTTTTATGGCAAATGAAAAATAAATACCATGCCCTTATAGGTACTGAAGGTGGTGCGGCACACGCTGCAGGATATGCATCTGGCTATAGAGGGCACCATCATCATGAGCCCCTCCCTGAAGGACATGCTGGACGCTATGTATGATGCTAGAGTCCCAGAGCGCTGGCGCAAGGTGGGTTTTGCATCCCTAACATGATTGGTAGTGTGTGATTCATATCGGATTATTAAGGTCTTTATTTTCTTGGTTTCATGTGTGTTTTATGTGTATGAATTTATAATTAATGAACTTTCACTTTTTCCAGCCTTTTCACTATAATTTACTAAACAGGACCACCTTGACATAAGTGTCACACAGTTTTTTGGCTCGGCACAACACCCTACTCAACCTTGTAACTTCTTGTCGAGTCACCTCCAGCACCATCTACAAGCACATACACCAAAGAGCATACTGCACACACCACCACCAGAGACTTATTTCCCTAGCCTTTGGTTTGGTCATCACTCTTCCCTAAACCAATATCATCACAGTTTCCAATTCCCCAAAAATCCACTCTGTCCACATTGCAACATGGACCCTAACAATAAAACTCACCTATTCGCTGAAAAAAATATCTACTTTTAATCAACCTTAACATTTTTATGGGGCAGAGGATACATGAGTAACAACACAGAATGGCCAGAAATAGGAAAAATATACACGCGTACTGTCTTCTCCCTTCTTTGTCATTCCTTCATTTTCACTGTTGAAACAATTGTGTTCTACAGTGGTGATCCCTTCCACATCAAAGCATATCTCTTCACACAATCTAAAGTGGCATCAAGACCTAGTTTCCATGTATTGAGGCAATCTTGGATGCAGTCAAGATATCATCATCCATAAAAATGATTAAGTAATGCCATAGTAAGGATCTTGACTGCCACATTTGGGCGTGTCGCTCCCTAATTCGTAATTACTATTACCATTCATCAACTGATGCCTTGTTCAACTATTTCTGGGCTCAGTCAGCAAGAATTACATGCTAAGGGAGTGTTTGTGTTCTTTCTCAAAAGATTGTTCCCAACCCAATGGTTCCACCAAATATCCAGAACAACATCGAGGATCTTCATAAAGCAGGGGAGCTTATAAGATATGTCTTTTTGGAGCAAACTTCCTGCAGGGTGCGTGTTGTACAATCGCCCAAATGAATGATGTCACGATTTCCAGAAACTTAAAATAAAAAAAAAGTGGAATTTGGCAACTACCAAATCCGTTTAATATCGCTTTTATTTTTCCAAGGTGCAACACAATTGTGTGAAATAGTAATGTTAAATTTAATAGATATACATTAATTGTGTTTAGCTGAAATGAGTATTGAATAAAAAAATACTTAAATATTCATACTCACCACATTTATGCCACATCTTTACTGAATAATGTCAACAAATAGTTCTCACATTCACCACCTCGATGGATGAGACAGGGAGGGAAAGATTCACAAAGAAAAGTTTTGATATTTAGATAAACTACATGCTTAAATAATTGTTTCTTGTTGTTTTTTCCTGTCGTATGTATTTAAAAAATTAATTGCCATATATGCTCTGAAGGTATTGTATTATTTAGCACCCAATAATAAAATACAACAAATTAAAAATTCCCGTTCAACGGTTATTCGTTATATATGAAAAAAAAAACTGACTAAATTGCTAACTTCTATAAAGGCTTATTCAATTAATGGTTATTTTAGAGCAACACATGCCTTTCATGTTGTTATGAAAGTAAAACAACAACATAACAAGGAAATGAGCCATATGCAGAATATTCTACACCTTGAAGTAAGTGTTATCGGTTTGTGTTGCTGTATCATCTCGTACTGGCTGTCCTTTTTTTCTACAAGCATCTTCGTCTTTCAAGCGTGGGATTGGCATATAGCTCTTTACTTTTGCTACCCAACTTTTAAGCCTTTTCCCTACAAAAATATGAGGGAATGTCAGGGAAATGTTAGGTAGCAAGAAATTAGGCCCCGGCTCTCGTTAATATATAATCATACTACAACAGCGTCCAGCCCACTATCTCACTGGTCAGTCACAGTAGTCACTCGCTCAACGCCTGCCAAGATGCAAGTTAATGCTGTGTGAACGAATCAAACTGAAAACCGTGACATCACTTTCAAGAACGATTGTATAGTACAGCAACTGGAGTATCTTCCCACCTCTACTCCGGTCTTAATTTCTTTGATACACAAATCCTTCCTACCTGGTTCAAAGGTACATGTGATGGTTTGATCCTGAAAACCGGTTTAATTAAGTCCTTCCTGGGAACGTTAGTGAGATAGCTAGGGTGAGAGTGTAGTGGTGTGAGTCTGTGTAGTAAGTTGTTGGGCACACATTTCATCAGACCTCCAGCCTTCAGACAACCTTGGCTCTTATTTTCCCCTTTGAGGGTGAGCGGTTTAATCTTTGAACTAATTAAATTCTGCTTAGTTTAGGTCACACCCAGGAGTTTTGCCCCAGTGGTACGATTATTAAACAAGTTTTCAGTATTAAACCTTCATTGTCTTATTTGAGCATAGTGGTCGAACAGATAGAGCTGGCCTCCTGTTCCTGGGGTTGGTGGATAGATTCCTGGGTGCCCCCAGTTCACCCAGCTGTAAATGGGTATCTAACTTTCCGTTTTGGGGAAGTGAAGGCAGTCGAGAGCAGTACTGGCCCTGCTGCCCCCATAGGCATTATGCCTATGGGACCCACTTTCACTTGTTTCAGTTTTATCTTAAATGATGTAATTGTTTTACTGCAGATGTTAGATAGCAAAATATATATAGCATCAGTTACAAATCTGTTTTGGTTGCAGGTGTCATGGGAGTCAAGTACTCTGGGCTTCTGGTTCACAGAGCTGCTGGAGCGAGACTCACAGTTCCGTCGCTGGTATTCCTATGGCAGACCCAAGGCCTTCTGGATCACTGGCTTCTTCAACCCTCAGGGTTTCCTTACTGCCATGAGACAGGTGTGTTATGGTAATAGTTTAATGGGTATTAAAAGTAAAGAGCTTTATACTTCAACCTTTACAAGTCACGTTACACACACACACACACACAGTGATTCTCCATCAGCCGGAACAACTGAATTGGTGCAGAGCACTTCCGGGAATGAGAGATTTCTGGGTAATGAGACGACTCTCAAAGCCTGTGTGTGTGTGTGTGTGTATGTGTGTGTGTGTGTGTGTGTGTGTGTGCCTGTGTGTGTGTGTGCATGCGTGCACGTGTGTGTGTGTGTGTTGTGCACGTGTGTGTGCACGTGTGTGTGTGTGTGTTTGTGCACGTGTGTGTGTGTGTGTGTGTGTGTGTGTGCGCGCGCACGTGTGTGTGTGTGTGTCTGCGCGCGCACGTGTGTGTGTGTGTGTGCGCGCGCACGTGTGTGTGTGTGCATGCGTGCACGTGTGTGTGTGTGTTTGTGCACGTGTGTGTGTGCATGCGTGCACGTGTGTGTGTGTGTTTGTGCACGTGTGTGTGTGTGTGTGTGTGTGTGTGTGTGTGTGTGTGCACGTGTGTGTGTGTGTGTGTGTGTGTGCGCGCACGTGTGTGTGTGTGTGCATGCGGGTGTGTATTAATTATCATTAGTCCCTGGGCTGCTGGCTACATAGGTCTCGACTCACCACACGTGGGCATATTTCGGCTCAAATGAAAATAATAAACTTTTACTTTTTTCTTACAAATCCATCGTAAATGGTACAAATAGGTACAAAATGCATGTACTTATCTTTAGTTGGCATCGTGGCAAGTGTGACGTGGGGAGACGTGGGTTGGTGATGGGTGGCGGTGTGGCAGAGCGAGTGGTATCACTATTTACTCAGTGTCTGTAGGCAGCTTGAGTTCCTGTTACTTATTTGTTATTGTTTATTTACACAATGTACTCATCATTTTACGACCACTAATAGGTTTTCTGAATATGGTAGTCCTTGAACCATGGCAAACACTCATTGCACCAGGTGCTGACACCCTTTCGCTTGCTGCCACGAGTGGTAGTGTTTCTGCACAGATGACAGGCTCTCTGACTTTACCACCAGGCTCTGGCAAAACTTGTAGAAAATGCCTGTCTATGTAATCACGTCTAAGCAGCCGATCAGTAGCTGAATGGCGCCTTGGTGTTGATGCCATCACCTTGCCGGGTTCTTTCGAAGATTTGTTCAATAATTCTTTTGTTGAACACTCTCAGAGGTTGAATGCATTGGGGACAGTTTCAGTCAAGTGTAAAACATCTTATGGTACCACTTGACACATTTACACATACAGTAGCCCCAACTTGCAAATCACTGTGTCGACCAAATGCATGTTGTATGTGTAGTCAACTACAGCATCAAGCTTAGTGATGTATTCTATTGTTTTTGTGTCTTTCTTGCCGCTGTCCACCAGTTCTCCTTTATGAATTGTTAGGATATTCACATCACACTTATCATGCCATCTGATTGCCAACACGTTGTTTGCTTGTTGCATCTGTATTTCATCACACTTGAGACTTCCTTAAAAGTGAGGCCAGTTTGTCCGGTTTACACGCACTGTACCACATGACCCTTTGAAATGTTCCAGTAGGTAATTGTCTGTGTACAGCACATGATTGGCATTTAGATAGCAGTCCATGAGCTGTTTCACCAGTGAAGCTGAGAAGCCATGCAAGTCATTTTTGGGTATGTCTACATCACTCGCCGTGTACACTATCAGGTCAAAGACATATCCTATTTCAAAGTTACACAACACCAAATATTTTTACCAAACCAATGTCTCTTGGAAGGTATATATTGGCGGAACACTATACGGCCACAGAACATCACAAGCAACGCCTCTCTCATCACTTTTTGGAAAGGTCGAAAGAAATTACGAAATTCATTTTTCAACATAGTAAAAATCTCACGAATTTTCCAGTCTGTCATCTGCCACAGGATGGTTGTTGTCTGCAAAATGTAGATACCATAATAATGAAATAAATCTATCTCTGGTCACGTATTCTCCAAAAATAGGCGTTGCTGTGAGGAAGTCTTGTATCCAATATTCCTATATGACATGTTTCTTTATGTGCGCCATTAACTTTAGCAAAGCAAAGATGACATAAAATTCAGAAACATCAAGAGCAGTCCAGCATTGCATTTTTGAAGGAGTGGGACCAGAGTCAGTATTGCCTTGACAGTATTCATAATATTTCTGTGCCTGATCACGAATAAGTTTCATCACTTCACTGTCAAAAAACATCTGGAAGTAATCCAGTTCACAAGCATCATCATCCACAATGAAATTATTAGTAATCACAACACCACTCCAGTCAAAAATAGGGATATTAGGTTAAAAATTTGCACCTTCACTCCTTGCAAATGTATCCATGCTGCCGACTAGTGGTAAGGGAGTGTCACCCACACCTCCTTCTCCCACAGGTCGTCTCTGAGTTCCAACTCACTTTCACTAAAGAGTTTACCACTAAGATCAATTAGATCTTGTTGCCACTCTTCCTCAGTAAGACTTTTAGCACTATATTTCCTCAGGGTGGAGGTGCTGGGTTGGTGGAGGTGCTGTGTTGTGGAGAGCAACATTCACTTGACCTCTCCATCTTGTGACATAACATGTACTGAGGCATTGTGGGTGGTAACTGGTAACATGGACGTCCGCATGTTGCCAACGGGAGAGGAGGGTTTATCCCATAATCCTGAGTTAGTTTGGCACGTTTCTTATTTAAATAAGCCAACGAAATCACAAATCGTCAAGTGACGTAATCCGAAGCCCTACAGACGCACGTCAGGTGACGTGACCCGAAGCCCAAGGGTTAACTCTGGCACTTGTAATAGTATTAATGGGGAAGGTAATTGCAGTACTATTGATATTATTTGTATTAGCTAGCCTTCTAAAACATATAGCACATATTGGTAAGTCAGAGTTCACCAAGGAGATCAGACACAGAGCTGCATGTTGTACACCACAGGAAGTGACGCGACAGCATAAGGGATGGTCGCTGGACTGCGTCATTCTGCAGAACTTGGTGACTCGTTTCAATAGGGAGGACATTCACGACCCCCCACCTGAGGGGGTCTACATCTATGGGCTCTTCCTCGAGGGAGCCTCCTGGGATCGCAAACAGGGCCGACTTATGGAGTCACGGCCAAAGGTGAGTACTGTCTATCTGCTCTCTTATGTTTTGCTGCTTTGAGGATGTCACTCCCTGCGCTCTAGCATACTCAACAGTCTTCAGATGGTTGTGGACAGATGTTTGGTCGCATTGGCGCTTCACCCAACACATCTACCAATGTGAGGTTAGGCTACTTTTGCCAAGTTTGAGCATAATAGTGATCTTAAACCATTAATATAGTTCATTGTTTCGCCGGAATTGCCCATTGAGACGACTTAGAGATGTATTTCATTCACGTTCTTAAAAATGGGTTGGATTGATTGCTAACTTATGTGTTGTTCCTTTTGTGCAGGTGTTGTATGAGCCCATGCCTGTGGTTTACCTGTACGCTGTCAACACCACCAGCGGGAAGGACCCTAACCTATATGAGTGCCCCATGTACAGGAAGCCGAAACGCACCGACGCTACCTACATCGGGTCTATTGACCTAGAAACTACAGACTATCTACCGTCTCACTGGACACTGAGAGGCGTGGCTCTGCTATGTGACATAAAATAAAGAGAAAATCAACTTGTGTATCTTTATAAAACTTCCTCAAACAGGTAAAGAAGATCGAAGGAGGGTCACTACCTGCCTCACGATGCTGTTAAGAAAGATTCGGTCACTACACCTATCAAAGTGGTATTTAATTGTAGTGCTTGAGCTAATAAGAAGGCCGCGAGCCTAAATGCTTGTCTTTATACAGGTCCCAATATTACCGAGAAATTAAATGTTCTAATTATGTTTCGTACGAAGCCACATGGTCTCGTAGCTGACATCTCCAAAGCATTTCTTAGAAAGAAGTGGCTAGGAAATACACTAAATTCCTCTGGCCACGGAATCCGTATGATAAAGACAGTCCTTTGGACGTCTACCAATTCAAGTCAGTCCTGTTGGGATCATGCTCGAGCCCTTCCCTACTGTGTAACATACTGCTACGTCATTGTGACAAAGCAGGATGTCCAGAAATCGTGAAATCATTCTATATGGACAATTTACAAATCACAGTGGAAACAGAAGAAGTGGCAGTGGCCATATACAGATTAGCCAAAAGAGGTTGTCAATCTGCTAATATGCTTCTTCAAGATTGGAATACCAATTCCAACCAATTGAGAAATATAATCAGACAAGAAATTAATCTTGCATTAACTGAAAATCAGCCCGTGTTAGGCCTGAGCTGGAATGTTAAAGGTGACAAATTAGGTATTAAAACCCCTTCCTACCCAGATGTACCACTTACTAGAAGATCCTTACTAAGTCAAGTGTCACTCTTATTTGATCCATTGGGCATTTTGAGCCCTATAACAATAAGAGGCAAAATGTTGTTGGTACAAGAAGTTTCGAAGGAAAAGGTGGATTGGGATACCCTACTACCTGAAAGATGCAATCAGGAATGGGGAAAAACAATAGAAGACTGTAGAATGAGCACTAATGTTACCATCCCAAGAACAAGTAATAATGATAGATAATATAATTCAACTCAACCTATTCTGTGACGCGTCTGCAAGGGCGTATGGCGCAGTCGCCTATTCAGTGACATAGCACAATAGTGAGTTGATTATGGCTAAAAAAAGGGTAGCCCCACTAAAGAGGCTGACATTACCTCAACTGGAGTTAACCGCCTTAGAATTGGGAACTCGATTAGCCAAATATTTGGTGGACATTACCGCCACTCTTAATAATAAAACAGAGGAAGAAACTCCCCTTTTCTTAGAGGTTATTATTTGGACATATTGTGAAATCTGTCTACATTAGAATGCTAAAAATGATAATAGAATTCCATATGTTAAAAATAGTCCACAAAATATCAACCCAACAGGATTATACAATTAATCACGTGTCGACGCAGTATTTATCACCCTGAGAATCCTCCAGCTGGTGCCATCAAATACCACGTTGCCAGGCTAAGTGAGGCTATCTACTAAATCTAGACCACACACACACACACAATAACTCTCCCAGATATTGTCTACTCGTCAACCGGTATAGAAAGTCTCAGTTGCGGCTACACTAGTACCCGAAACGGCCACGCATATCCTACACTCTGTTGTAGAGACGTGTCCGCACTACGCAAGCAAGGCTACACCCACGCATATGACACCTCCTCTTTCCCAACAAGAAGCGACAACTTCTCCCATCTCCTTCACCCAACAGCTCTGACTCCACACCCGTACTCTACCAGCACACTGCCTATTGTCAATCACATGTACTAATTCTCTCCAGGTAACCCTACACTATGATGATGAAATCCTGCCACCTGGTGTTAATGGTGCTGCCGTTCCTCTCCTGCTACGGTATGTATTAAACAGGTGTTGTACAGCACAGGTGTTAGGCTTGATAGATGTTGTAGGGTGCAAGTGTTGGGAAATATAGCTATTAAGGGGTGTAGGTGTTCAAGAGTTAAGGTGTTGGAAATTACATATTACAGAATGCAGGTGTTCATGATTAATCATTTTATAGCGTGCAGGTGTTACAGAATAAGTATTTAGGGTTCACAGGTGTTACAGAATAAGATGTTAGGCATTACAAATATTATAAAATACAGGTTTTCTGGATTACAAAATGCTGTCAAGTACAGCTGGTAGGTATATAAGTATATAAGTCTGGTAAATCACAGGTGGGGATAAACACACATGGGCTAAAAAGTATGTGTTACTGAGTACAAGTGCAGCAATGTATAATTATCTTTGATACTGTATCTAGGGTTTTAGGTGTTGGTAATATGCGTGTAACAAAGTACAGGTGTTAGGTAGTCTATGTGCTACCGAGTACATGTTTTAAGAATTGTAGGTGCATACAGAGTACTTGTTTAGGGATTATGTGTGTTACAGAGTAAAAGTATTAGGGATTATAGGTGTTAAGAGGTACTAGTGTGGTAAAGGACAGGTGACAGAACACTCAATGCACGGTTATGAAGCACTGTTGACAAAATATCGTCTTTATGAATTTTAAGTGAAACGGGAGAAAATATACGATAAACGAAAATTCACAAGGGACGTTTTCAGTTAATAAGATACATGATATATTTCAACTCAACGAATGAGCCTCTTTTATATATTGCGCGATTTTACTGTAGATCTGACGACCCTGAAATCTCATAACTTCATAGGTTATATTTTCCCATTAGTATGGGTGTGAGAACGCATATGCCAGGTTCACGTAAGATACGAGGCAGAGATAACAGCCAAGGTTGAAGTTTAAACTATTGAGACGATTCTGGATGTAATCCTGTCGGTGGGTGGGAGGGTGCTTTGTGCATAAAAAATACTAAAAATCACACTTTGGGTTTTGTGAAGGAACATTTAAAGCACAAAAAATGAAGAGCGAACATTCTTTAACCCGGTGGCTTATGAAACATCTACCGCGCGAAATATTTTATGCGATATCTTTTGAAATATCTCCCGGATATGGAATAAATTATACGTGACATATTTTGTACAATACCTGTATCCATGCAAATTAAGTCATACAATAAAATATAAACACAAATAATAAGTGTTACATCAAGTGTGGTTTCAGTAAAGCTATTGTTCTTCAACCCTTTGGCTGAACAAAATCGTCTAGCGTTAGCCAGATTAAAATAGTTAGGGGATACTTTGCCCTCTAAAAGGTTATCTTGGCCTGAGCATATCCTGTGAGTTGCTAAGTCTAGGATGTTGCATGTAGGGCAGTGCTATTCAACTTGGGTGGACGAGATTTTGTTTGGGGTGGATGGCAGTCTTGGGGTGGTTGAAGGGATGGACGAGACTTGGAAGGATGGAGACAGGTGTGAATGTGTGTCGCCCGTATTGTTTCTCTGGAATCATGACGTCAGCCGTAATATTTGAAACGCCAACCAATGAGAAGAGTGTACTGGGAGGTGGATTTAGTTTTAAATTTCAAAGTCTGTGCCCAGTTGACTGTCGTGGAGAAAGTAGGTAAGTTAGCGTTTCGATCTATTTCTCACGGCTTGTTGATATATCACAAAGCTGGACGAAACGACAGATGTGGGAGGGGATGTCCAGCTGATTGTGTACTGTCGTTTTCCAGATTTAGTCTAAGACCATAGCTGAACACTACTTGTGCTGCCTCCAATTAGGGGTTGAAATAACAGCGGGGAACATTTTCCATAAACTGTATTATTTTATGATTGAAGAGAGAATTGAATGGTCGAAATGCAATGGTTGGAGCAATCAATGGTGTTGCGACTGAAAGAGACTGGAACAGCTAGTGAGAAGAATGATTTAGAGCATCTTCTCGATGACATCTTCTCGGTGAGTTGTGCAGAGATATGGAAGCCAACTTCACCACACTGCTCTTTCATGCCGAAGCGGTTATTCCGTAGGAAGGTTCTGAACTGAACGTTTGCACTGAGAGAACAGTTGCGTGTTTTTTTTTTTTACAAAGGAAACAAACACCATGGCAGTTAAATGTCAGGATAACTTTTGGCTGGCAAAGTTGTCATAGACGACCTTAGTTCTTAATCATTTGAACAAACTCAACATCAGTCTCCAAGGCAAAGGTCGTGATATTTTCACAACAATGGGAATAATAAATGAATTCAAACTGCAGGTGCAAAAGTGGGTGGAGAGCCAAAGAAGAAAAGAACACTTTTTCTGATTCCCGACTTTTGATAACTGTGAGAAAATGTGGCTGGGAACACGGGGTGCAGGCAGCAGAAGAGAAGACATTGGAGAAGCGAATGTCCCGCCTGGTCGTCAATCATCTTGCCTTGATTCAGGAAAATCTCAACGTGTATTTCCCATAGAGTGAGAGCGAACACCTGTACTCCAACATGTGGGTTCTTAATCAATTTGCTGATGATGGGGTTAACCATTCTGAAGCTCTATTGGGCCTCCGGACAGATTACGCTTAAAACACAGCCTTCAAGACATTAACACACACCATGTATTTCTGTGTAAACTGTTGGTTATTTCAGACTAGGAGGAGTTGGACGAGCAGGTGACAACCACGTTCGTACAGATGCCAACAACATATGTATGGGAGAGGTTCTCCGTTCTATTTTTAATCAAATCAAAGAAAAGTCGGCTGATGCCAAGATTTCAGCTGATAGCAGATAAAGTACAACAGCAGTCAAGTCACTAAATCACCAAAACATTCATAATTATACCTATGATCCTTTAATTTATTATTTTCCTTAAATTAGTTTAATAAAAAGTAATTTTTTTCTGAATGGAAAACTATATCTTAAATTATATTACAATACAAAATGGTAAATAAATGCAAGTGAAAATGATATATATTATTTCTCGCTCTCTCTCTTGGCAAAAATTGGTTACCACTTGGGGAGGACAACATCAAAAAAGGTTGGCCTCTGATGAAGGGGTGACACAGGGTACCAACCTCCTATGGCCAAGAATCCTCGCGTACCCGATCACAGGCCTTTATTACCCTCTAATATGATCTTCATTATACAGCTGATATTACATTCAATATACTATCATATCATAGCCCACTTACCGATAGATGACGTTGCTGGTGCTAAACTCCATTAGTATTTGATAACTATGGCTGATTTTAAAGTCACGCAGTTAACCATTAGATTCTGCTCCTTTGTGGTGCCCCAAATATAGAAACTGATTATAATGGCGCCTAAATATCAATCACACGGCTGCGAGGCTTCATCCGAGTAGTAATTGGATTTGAGAGTCACCAGGTGAGTGGTAGTGACACATTTACCAGATAATCAATGTAGAGTATGAGGCGAGATGCTTCAAATCAATATAGCTGACGGGAATTTTGGTCGAACTCCAGTGCAAACACATTATTAACCATGACTCTAGTATACATAAGATTAAGAGAGCGAAGAGAGAGAGTTATTATTACTATAATTATAAACAAAAGTAACAATAGTAGTTGTGGCAGCATTATTGATATTTTTGTAATTATTATTATGACTATCTTGCCTTTCTACACGTATATATCATAATTACAATTAATTTTACTAATCATTGTTCACTGCTCATCCTCTTCGCTATATTAGTTTCTACTGTTCTTCATTTCCATGTATCTTTCTCTTTTTCGTCTACTATACATTATCATCATTACTAAAATTAACATTTTCAGAATAACTGACATTTTAATTTACAATCATTATATCCTCTTCCATCTCTCACTCCACCCAGGTGAGGGTATGCTGGCCGAGGAACAGCTACCCTGCATCCCTAGAGTGTTTGACAGCACCTCCTTCGTGTGCGTGTGCAACGTCTCCTACTGCGACACCCTGCCCTCCCCAACTCTTCCAGCTTCAGGAGAGTACTTGGTTTACACCTCCGATCTCGCCTCTCGCAGATTCTTCCAGACCAAGAGCACCTTAACCGTGTCCCTTGATGGTGAGACTTGGCAGTGTATGGTGGTGTGGTGGGTAGTGTTGGTATGTGGTGGGTGTAGGTGGTGGTGGTGGTGGACGGTGGTGCAAGTGGTGTTAAGTACGGCGAGTGTAAGTGATGTTGGTGGGTGTAGGTGGTGTTGGTATATAGTGGGTGTTGGTGTGTGTTGGTGTATGGTGGGTGTAAGTGGTATTGGTGTATGGTGGTATTGGTGGGTGTGGGTGTAGGTGGTGTAGGGGTATAGGTGGTGATGGTGTAGGGGTGATGATGTAGGTGAAGGATGACTCGAGTTATCGCTCACTTTGTTATAGGTGAAGAGAGGTCTGAGTCGTCTCTTCATGTGACATTTTTATAGTTGAAAGTATCTGTTTACCCTTTCCATCTTAGGTGTGCTGGGGGAGGCGGAAGTGGAGTATGTGCTGGATTCAACGACTACCTATCAGAAGGTGATGGGGTGGGGAGGTGCCTTCACCGACGCCGCAGCTTCCACCATTCTCAGCCTTTCTCAACCCGCTCAGGATCATCTCCTTGGGTGGGTTCGCGTCTGGGGATAGCCAATTCATCTGTTGTTGCTTTTGAGGTCTTTGTCTGCTTATGAGTATTTCCTCTATGTTTGTCTTTGGTACCCCCAAAATGTTCTACACTACTGAGGGTATACACAAACACTTGTTATCTTAAAAATAGGTTCTTATTCTCGTACGGGAGATATATACAGATGGACCAAGCAACTCGCTTCCACACCATAAGGACTGGTGGTCTCCACTCCATGTAACACTGCGCGCTGGCATGTGCAGATGCCAGCATACACAAGCTGAATACATAAAATGTAAATATGATAATTCATATACATAACATGGTGCATAATAAATGGAAATATTACATAGGATTAATACATGTTCTGTAATACTTTACTATACATAATTAATAGGGTAATATAAGAATACACAGCTTAAGGTACTACTTCGTGTCCATATTATACACCTCCCTCCCCCCTATACGCTCATAGTTTCATCTTGAGCGGACCTTTTGTTTCTGAGTCGCTCGGACCTGCGGAGTACTGGGGCAGAAACACAAGGTGGGGATGGATTTACTGTAACGGCATCAGCATTAGGGGACTCTACTGGGGAAGGGTCAACACTTGGCAGCTCCACAGGTCGGAGGAAACGAGGGTTCCTCCACCATACTCTACCACCAGGAAGATGCACTTGGTAGTCCCTGGACCGGCCAATACCCATGACAACCCCAACCTTGTCTCAGCGGTGAGATACCTGATCTTGAATCCTGACCTGCTGGCCGATACTCAGCCTGGGAAGGGGGCGGGCATGACAGTCGTACCGAGCAGCGACATCTGCGGCTCGTTCTGCTGCAAGGCGGTCACATTCTTCAGTCTTGGCTTGCCATTCTTGAGAAAAAGACTTCGGGTGGGCAGGAACACAAGACCTGAGATGATGTCCATATAGAACCTGGGCTGGGGAGCGTCCGGTGAAGTTCGGGGTGTTGCGTAACTCTAACAAACCTCGATCGAAGTCCTCGCAGTCGATATTTCCTGAGGGTGACACCTTAAGGATCAGGTGTTTAACAGTCTTGACTGCGGCTTCAGCGTGTCCATTCGCCTGGGGGTAGTGGGGCGAGGTCACGACATGACGGACTCCCCAACGGTCCATGAAGTCCCGGAACTCGTGGCTGGTGAACTGGGGTCCTCCATCAGTCCTGAGGCGGAGGGGAACACCAACTTCTCTGAAGTAATGCCTGAAATTCCGGATGGTAGCAGTAGCCGTTGTATCACTACCACAGGGGACGACAACAGGCCATCCAGACAATCGGTCGGCAATGACGAGGAAGGACTTCCCTGCCACTGCAAAGAAATCGGCCGACACAGACTCGAAGGGTCTTGAAGGGTTATCGTCGCACATTAAAGGTTCCTGTTGCTGGCTGGGTTGCAGAATCTGGCACGGCTCACAGGCACGGACGGTACTTGCAATGTCCGCGTCGATTCCGGGCCAAAATACAGTCTGCTTCGCCCGTCGCTTGGTGGCCTCCACTCCTCGATGGCTGTCGTGAAGGCGGGTCAAGGTACGGCGGCGTAGGGCAGCAGGAATGACTACTCGTGGACCATACAAGACGAGGTCTCCGTCACAATAGAGGTCCTCGCGTATCTTCCAGTACGGGAGTAGCGATTCATGAAGGTCGTATCGGTTAGATGGAAATCCCTGGGACACACAGTCGACGAGCCGGATGTAGGAAGGGTCGGCCCGGGCTGCGGTGCGGAGATCTTCAAGGGTCTTGTCTGCATCCGGTGCTGTAGACTCTTCTGATGTGAAGACGGCCTTCAATGAAACTACTGACTTGAGGGATGCAGCAGCTGTAGAACACAACGTCTCGTCCTCTGGGGTGGGGCGACTGACAGGGGCGCGGGACAGGGCATCTGGGATGCACAGCAGCTTACCGGCACGCCACACAACCGTGAAGAGATAAGGCAAGAGCTTCTCTTTCAAACGTTGAAGGCAAGGATTCTCTACTGCATCCTAAGAGTAGTGATTGATAATTATCAATCACTACTCTTTGGATGCAGTAAGAGGGAGGGCGATGATCCGTGAAGAGGGTGAAGTGCTGAAGTCCTATCAGGTAGAAGCGGCACTTCGCCATCGCCCAGACAACAGCCAACATCTCCAGCTCAATCGTGGCATATCGGGTCTCGGCGTCCGTCAGGAACCGGGATCCAAACTGAATTAAGTGGAGTTGTCCACCGCCATGGTCCTGCAGAAGGGCGTAACCAACGCCGTAGAGTCTGGAGGCGTCAGTCTGGAGGACGGTGGGTAGGGCTGGGTCGTAACAGGCGAGGACAGGTGGACTTAAGAGGGCCTGCTTGACTCGCTGGAAGGCCTCTTGATGATCTGGGGTCCACAGGAATGTCCTCCTGGGGCTCAGCAGGGGGCGTAACGGCTGGGCTGCGGCGGAGATGTCAGGTGAAAATTCAGCCAGCTGATTGACCAGACCCAAAAAAGAACGGAGGTCTGTCAGGTTGGCAGGGGTTGGAAAATCCCTGATTCCACTTAATTTCTCCGGGTCAGCTGCGATACCTGATGCTGAGAGAGTGTACCCACAGAAGTTCACTGATGTTGCGGCGACTACAAACTTGTCAGCGTTGAGGGTAATCCCGTACTTTCGACATCTGGTGAGAACTTCATATATTCGGGAGAGGTGGGCACAGTAGTCTTCGTCATGGAGTAAAATGTCATCAACCACCTTGACACAATTCGTGACTCCTTGAAGGGCCGCGTCACCACGTTGACAGAATGCATCGCCCGTAGCGGCAAATCCCATGGGGCCTCTGCGATACTGATATCTTCCATATGGTGTGATGAATGTGGTCAAATGTTGGTCTTCTTCGGCCAACTCGATCTGCCAATAACCACATAAGGCGTCCATCGTTGTAAAAAACTTCGCCTTCGGGTCCACATTTCGAACAGCTGCGAAGGGTGTGGGTGAAGGGTGGGCTGGACGGGAAATTTGCTGGTTAAGTTTTGACAGATCGGTGGTGATCCGTACTCCACCACGAGGTTTGGCGACGGGGACGAGAAGGTGGCACCAAGGTGAAGGTTCGTCTCCGGCCGGCTTGATGATTCCCTGAGCAACCATGGAGTCAAGCTCTTGTCTAACTAGCTCCTTGTAGGCGTGAGGAATCAAACGAGGGGTGTGGATGGCAAAAGGTGTGGCACCATCCTTAAGATGAATCTTCATAGGTGGACCCACCATCGGCTTGAGTGGTGTGGATCCCAAAAATATCTTCGTAACCAACACGTCAGCAAACTCCTTGAGAAGGTAAGCTCTTGCGTCAGAAGGGGACGTGTTAGTAGAGATAGGGAGTTCCTTCAACCTGTTGACATGGGTGACCTTTAAAATAGGTTTGGGGAATTCCTTGGAAATAATGGCCAACTCTTGACAATGGCCATATGATAAAAGCGGAGTCGGGATCCCATCATGAACATCAATCCGGGCTGAGCAAGACTGCTTACCAAAGGTAAGAGTAGCCCAGAAAGATCCCAAAGCTGGAGCCATCTTGGAACCATCAGCTGTCAGTTTCGTTGTCTGAGGAGGGGGCTGTAGGTTGCTCCGGGGTATTCCCAAACTTGCTAAGTGTTGTGGACCAATTACTGAGACGTCAGCACCGGTGTCAGGTAACATCTGAAGACTGGATGACAAGTTACCGTAAGAAATGACGACACTGATGTGCTGGGGCGTCGTGTCTGTGGAACAATGTACACGACGGCAGGAACGACTGGACACAGCGTCTTGATGCTTGCCAGAAGGAGGGGGCGCGCCAGCACTACCTGAGGATGACTTCTTGGATCCTTGGTGGTGTCCTCTCTGTGTCTTCTTACGACAACATTTGTCATAATGGCCCACACGACCACAAAGTCTGCACTGAACTTTGCTAGCAGGGCACTTGACTGTGTAAGCCCAGTGACCCTGGCGGTCGCAACTTCTGCACACGCTTTGAGCAGCTGGGCACTGGGAGGCATCATGCTGTCTCGCGCAGCTGTTACACAAAGCTGCTGCTGAAGGTGTAGCTGGAGGGTGAGGGGTGGGGTTACCTTGCTGCTTCTTACCCTTTCTGTAGGAAGACACCGCCCTCACCTGGTCAGGTTGTGAACGTAAAGCTGAAGTCGCACACCTGGCGGCCTCGTACGCTCAACATTTTGTAACTACGTCTTGAAGGGAGGAAGTGGGGTCAAGTGAAATGAGACGCTGAACTAGCTCTTCATCTCGAATACCCGTTAAAATAATTGTCTTGAGCTGTGTCTCTTCACAGACTTGAGAATTTCCAGGACAAACATCAACTTCCTCTGAATATCTTTTCAGTCTTACAAAAAATGCATCAAAAGATTCTCCATCAAGCTGCTTACATTGGAGGAGTTCTCTTCTTCTAAGCGCTTCGTTGCGCTGTCCCTTAACATGTTCCTGTAACTTGTCAAGCACGGCCTCTACCGTCAGAGTTGTCGTAGGAGGCACTTGAAGTGTGTGCTCGAGAGTACGTTGTGTCTCTAAGGACAAGCACATACGAAGCTATATCATCTGTTTAGGCTGTGGTAAACTTGACAGGTCAACCATTGTTGCATAGTCTTGCCAACGTCGACGCCATTCCCGAAATATCTGATAAGAAGCGTCAGACTTCAGAGAGGGAGGCGTCTGTGCTGCAGCCTTTTGAGGAATTGTTGAACCGACTCTGGGAAATGAGGTACCAGTACCTCTAGTCGTATCAGCATTAGTAGTAGCAGAGGAATCTTGTACAGTAGATCGTTGTGGGGAGGCTAACAGAGAAATCAAGACTTCAAATCTGGCTTGATCCTCTCTTCTTCTCAGGGAATCCTCACTTCTACGTATGTCTTCTAGTTCTCTGCGCCTTTGTTTCTCTTCGTGGCGTCGTCTTTCAGACTTTCTGTACCGAATTTCTTCCTCTTCTCTCCTTGCAACATAGTCCTGGCGTCGAGAAGTTTCCATCCACTTAATCAGTTGAAGGAGATCTGTGGACGCAGGCACCGCAGGAGAGCTTGCTCGCGACGAACGAGGAGATTCTGTGGGTGATTGGGCGTTGTCACTGTGGGGAGCGTGGGGCCTGAGTGTGGGCGGAGAGAGGTCTCCCAGACTTAAACTCATAAGCCCATCGTCCAGGGTATCATTTTGATCCCTGTGAGACATGCCGACAGCTTCTGTACTCTATCTGTGCAAAGACCTGGTCAACCCTTCGTAATCTATGCACAGAATTACAGAAGTCTGAAGTAATTCGCAAGAATTTAATATAAGGTGGGCCTGTGAGTGCATGTGTCTGTGTATGGCTGTTGCCGGGAGAGGCTTGGTGAGCGCTGGGCAGAGTCGCGCTGGTCAGCTAGTTACCCTATGACCAGAGGCGGGAGTGTACGTACTGTTGGGCCGCTCCCTTAGTCATCTGACTGCAATTTGCACAGACAATTCTGATTAAAATACACAACACAGCACTTCACAAAACACTTCACTTCACAGCATAGCACTTCACAACACTGTAAATCCAGAGGCTTGTAGTCTGTCTGTAAATCCTTGAAGCTGAAGACGAGACGCCATTAACACAGTCCGGCGGGAAGGCTGGTCCACCCTGTATCTCACTGAGAAATACTCACTGCGCCATCTATGTTTGTTTTTGGTACCCCCAAAATGTTCTACACTACTGAGGGTATACACAAACACTTGTTATCTTAAAAATAGGTTCTTATTCTCGTACGGGAGATATATACAGATGGACCAAGAAACTCGCTTCCACACCATAAGGACTGGTGGTCTCCACTCCATGTATCACTGCACGCTGGCATGTGCAGATGCCAGCATTCACAAGCTGAATACATAAAATGTAAATATGATAATCCATATACATAACATGGTGCATAATAAATGGAAATGTTACATCGGATTAATACATGTTCTGTAATACTTTACTATACATAATTAATAGGGTAATATAAGAATACACAGCTTAAGGTACTACTTCGTGTCCATATTATACATTTCCCCTGCAGTGTTTATATAACAGAAGCGTTTCTTGCAGACCAGTCCATCTTCTCTCAAGGAAAGTATCGTCTCGCTGTGTTTTTTCTTGATTTGGGTATTCCTATGAAGGTTCTATGTTTCTGTTCTTGTGGGTTTGTTTCCTTAGTCGTGCTTCGTCTATAATTTATATTTAATGTTTTAAGTTTTTTTTTTCATATTTTTGGGGGGATAATTCTTAGAAAACCTCTACGAAATCCTTTTAGTTTGACTTTAGTATAAGGACCAGCCATCTATACGTCATTAAGAATAGTTAAAACTGCATCATATAGATAGGGGTCGGCAACCTTTATACAGTAATCGGCTACATTACAAACAAGAAACCAGCAATCGGCCGCAGCCATCACACGGTGGAATTAATTAAATTCAGAAAAATAAGACATGAAATTTGGAATTAAGAAATATATTACTAAATCATATATACAGACAAGCACTGGTTTACAGAAAAAATAATAGGCCTAACCTAATGGGTGCTAATAAATACTAATGCAACTTAAAACTGAGTGTGGAAATTATTTCGTATATGTCCATATAAAATAGTAATTTGTATATAAAGCCTCGCAGCAGCTAAGCGTTATAGCACCCTTGTATGTTCTGGTGGTGAGCCTCTGTATTAATTCATTGTTGAATGTACAGTACGTATACTTCTTCTCAGGGGCACCGTATGTCATGGATTTCTCTGTATACATTATATTATCCACGATTCACTTGTATAAATAATAGGTTGGATTATTGCTATTAAGAATAATTAGTCTGATGAGAGTGGATGGCCATCGGATGGTGTCGTCGGGTTGGGACTGGTTAACTTTCTCATAAACCATTTTAATGCAGTTAATTAAATTACAGAGGTTAGGTAGTTTTTTGTGTTTCTTCTAAACCAATTTAATTTTTTTTATAGGTGTAATATTGAGGTTTTCTTGTAAGTGGGAACCAAATCCAATTTTATCCCTTATGTTATGTTGCGTATTATTTACAACTCAAGTTAACAGAATGGTGACTTTCTATAACACTTCCAATAATTACTTGATTAATAAGGTAAAATGTCAATCAGCATTTTCAAAACCGTAGACAAGGTATAGTGTAATCAAGTTAATGATAGTTAATTAAAAAATTATCAATTAAGTGTGGTAGATGGTAGCTGAAACGAAGTGACATTTTTCATAGTATACTAAAAAATACTTATTTATGTACAAAATAATGATCAAAAGACCTAGACGCTGGTCAGAACTTAACATAAGTGTCGTTACTAAATTATCACACAAGTACAACAAAAGTTTACATTAATTAATCACTTATAAGAGTTACGGAGGAAGTTTAGTAAGTGAATAATTAATTACACACTATCTCACAAACTGTTAGAATGAACTCAAACTCTCCAAATTGTACTTTAACTGCATTAGAAAAATCAAAATGTAGGTAGACCTTGATATACCTTGCTATGTTTTGTAAATAACTAAACGCAGTATATTGCTTACCATATCATTGGGTTCTTTATCACACTTAAACAAAAGTACTGTATATATTCAAACAGACAGATCCAAAACACATCTGTCCTCTACAAAATCTGATTCTAAACAAAGGTCTTGGGACTGATTCGCTTCCGTCTTGCCTGTGTTCGCGTCTTTTTTTTAAGAATTCTGGTCATTTCTCCTTTCAGCTAATACGTCTGGGGCTGTTGTCTTCTATTTTCATTCTTCTTCCTTGCCACCCTTGAGGTTTTTCTTTGTTGGTCTTCAATCTTGCGATTTACAACTCTGATATTCTTCTGTCTTGTTGTTTTTGGTTATGGTTTGGTTATGTAAGGTGATGTTGATGGGGATGGATAATTATTATGGTGATTTAATGACAGTCCAGATGAAATGGCCAATCAGGTGATAAGTTTGTGTTATTCATTTTATATTTTTTATTTAAAGATGTAGCCCTTGTCTTTTTGTCTGAATGGTGTTGTTAGCTGTCAGTTTTCTCTGTATATGTGCGAGTTGTATGTAGTGAGAAAGGACTGAGATTAGTGTATCGTGTTGTACGTTTTTCATTTTAATATATTTTTTAATAATTTTTTATTGTGATTTATCTTAGGCATGTTTACATATATACATCATATACACATGTTGCGTGTACCTCTATCTTACTGATGAGACGGTCTCCTTGAGGTAGGGTATATTTATGTCATTGTCTCTCATCATGCCCCTAACAGCTCGTACTTCTCTTCCTCGGGCATCGAATACAACCTCGGGAGGGTCAACATGGGTGGCTGCGACTTCTCGTGGAGAACCTACACTTACTGCGACACCCCAGGAGATGTGAGCCTCGAAACCTTTGCCCTCCAGCCCGAGGACATCGAATTTAAGGTGAAGTAGTAGCTCAAGATTTTAGTCGTGTGTTTACTATCAGAACAGTACAAGGTAGAGTGGTAACTCGGTGCTTCAATCTCATGTTTACTATCAGAACAGTACAAGGTAGAGTGGTAACTCGGTGCTTCAATCTCATGTTTACTATCAGAACAGTACAAGGTAGAGTGGTAACTCGGTGCTTCAATCTCATGTTTACTATCAGAACAGTACAAGGTAGAGTGGTAACTCGGTGCTTCAATCTCATGTTTACTATCAGAACAGTACAAGGTAGAGTGATAACTCGGTGCTTCAATCTCATGTTTACTATCAGAACAGTACAAGGTAGAGTGGTAACTCGGTGCTTCAATCTCATGTTTACTATCAGAACAGTACAAGGTAGAGTGATAACTCGGTGCTTCAATCTCATGTTTACTATCAGAACAGTACAAGGTAGAGTGATAACTCGGTGCTTCAATCTCATGTTTACTATCAGAACAGTACAAGGTAGAGTGGTAACTCGGTGCTTCAATCTCATGTTTACTATCAGAACAGTACAAGGTAGAGTGATAACTCGGTGCTTCAATCTCATGTTTACTATCAGAACAGTACAAGGTAGAGTGATAACTCGGTGCTTCAATCTCATGTTTACTATCAGAACAGTACAAGGTAGAGTGATAACTCGGTGCTTCAATCTCATGTTTACTATCAGAACAGTACAAGGTAGAGTGATAACTCGGTGCTTCAATCTCATGTTTACTATCAGAACAGTACAAGGTAGAGTGATAACTCGGTGCTTCAATCTCATGTTTACTATCAGAACAGTACAAGGTAGAGTGATAACTCGTAACTCGGTGCTTCAATCTCATGTTTACTATCAGAACAGTACAAGGTAGAGTGATAACTCGGTGCTTCAATCTGTTTACTATCAGAACAGTACAAGGTAGAGTGATAACTCGGTGCTTCAATCTCATGTTTACTATCAGAACAGTACAAGGTAGAGTGGTAACTCGGTGCTTCAATCTCATGTTTACTATCAGAACAGTACAAGGTAGAGTGATAACTCGGTGCTTCAATCTCATGAACAGTACAAGCTAATCTCATGTTTACTATCAGAACAGTACAAGGTAGAGTGATAACTCGGTGCTTCAATCTCATGTTTACTATCAGAACAGTACAAGGTAGAGTGATAACTCGGTGCTTCAATCTCATGTTTACTATCAGAACAGTACAAGGTAGAGTGGTAACTCGGTGCTTCAATCTCATGTTTACTATCAGAACAGTACAAGGTAGAGTGATAACTCGGTGCTTCAATCTCATGTTTACTATCAGAACAGTACAAGGTAGAGTGGTAACTCGGTGCTTCAATCTCATGTTTACTATCAGAACAGTACAAGGTAGAGTGATAACTCGGTGCTTCAATCTCATGTTTACTATCAGAACAGTACAAGGTAGAGTGGTAACTCGGTGCTTCAATCTCATGTTTACTATCAGAACAGTACAAGGTAGAGTGGTAACTCGGTGCTTCAATCTCATGTTTACTATCAGAACAGTACAAGGTAGAGTGATAACTCGGTGCTTCAATCTCATGTTTACTATCAGAACAGTACAAGGTAGAGTGGTAACTCGGTGCTTCAATCTCATGTTTACTATCAGAACAGTACAAGGTAGAGTGGTAACTCGGTGCTTCAATCTCATGTTTACTATCAGAACAGTACAAGGTAGAGTGGTAACTCGGTGCTTCAATCTCATGTTTACTATCAGAACAGTACAAGGTAGAGTGATAACTCGGTGCTTCAATCTCATGTTTACTATCAGAACAGTACAAGGTAGAGTGATAACTCGGTGCTTCAATCTCATGTTTACTATCAGAACAGTACAAGGTAGAGTGATAACTCGGTGCTTCAATCTCATGTTTACTATCAGAACAGTACAAGGTAGAGTGATAACTCGGTGCTTCAATCTCATGTTTACTATCAGAACAGTACAAGGTAGAGTGATAACTCGGTGCTTCAATCTATCAGAACAGTGTACTAATCTCATGTTTACTATCAGAACAGTACAAGGTAGAGTGGTAACTCGGTGCTTCAATCTCATGTTTACTATCAGAACAGTACAAGGTAGAGTGATAACTCGGTGCTTCAATCTCATGTTTACTATCAGAACAGTACAAGGTAGAGTGGTAACTCGGTGCTTCAATCTCATGTTTACTATCAGAACAGTACAAGGTAGAGTGATAACTCGGTGCTTCAATCTCATGTTTACTATCAGAACAGTATAGGGCGGAGTGTAAGAATAAAAATTTTTATCAAAGGATTTCCTCATATCGATTGTATAACAATGCCCCCTCATTTCAGTAAAAAACAAAACAATTGGAATGATATACGAGTACATACAGAATTAGAGCCACTTTGAATGAGGCTCATTTGAGATAGGACCAGGTTAACTTTCATCCGATAGAAGCCTACAGATACCAGTGATAAATGAAAAGTAGAGGAGACAGATATATACCCACAGGGAGGAGAGAAAGAAATATAGTCTAGTTGTGTTTTACATCAGTACGTCACATTGTGTCATCTCTCCCTGTTGGCTGAACAATGTTGTATACCAGCCTAGTCACTCTCACCGAGTATGGCATCACACTGGTAACTTGAAAACATAGCAAACAATACCTGACTTCCTACAGCACCAACAGTGAAAGACAAATAAAATAAAAAACTTTTTTGTATGGTAAAGCTTCTCGGGGCAATGGTTTAACCCTTTGAGAACAATATCTTAACCCTTTGAGGGTAATAGTTTCAACGGCTGTACCTTTATTCTTCTCAGATCCCAATAATCAAACGAGCTGAGGCGATGGTAGACGAGCCGCTGAAGCTGTTTGCCTCCCCCTGGACGGCGCCTCCCTGGATGAAGACCAATAATGACTATGTGGGCTACGGCCAGCTGCTACCAGAGATGTACCAGCCCTGGGCCAACTACTTCGTCAAGTCGGTTCTCTTGTTCCTCTCCCTCTCATTTTCTTAACACATATTTCTGTCTCTCCGTCTTCTCTTTGTCTTACTTTTTCTTTTGTATCTCATTTTCGTTCTCTTATTTTCTCCTTCATCCCACTATCTAGGTCACGTGCTTTAACTCCTATATTATGTTAGCAGCTAGACTTACGCATCATCCTATAATAGTAAATATTCCAATGACTTCTACTAAGAATTTAATGAGTTTATTGAGGCTAAATTTTAAAAACTTAAAATAAAAAAACTATGGACAGAATCAAATGGAAATTAGGTAAACTGAAAACGGGGGCAGGGATAGAATATGAAAATGAAACCGAAAACGGATTTTCAGTATTGGTAGAAGGTGACTGATGAACAGAGGAGACCAGGACAACAATTTAATAATTACAAAGATGTAATGTTAGAGACTGGGAAAAAACTTATAGGATATAGGAGGGGATAGACTAAGAAATGTGAGAAAACAAAGTGAACCTTACATAAAAAAAATAAATAAAAAATAAATCAAACGGAATGCAGACAGGCCAAAAAAGGTGATCTAGCAAGGAAATACATGGAGATTGAATATAATGACAGAAGGCATAATCCTAGGGAAATGTACAGAAAGATTAAACAAATGAACAAGAAAAAAGAAGAAATAAATGGGGTGGGACTATAAAATCAAAGGCAATATGATCCTTTTTGAGGCAGAAGAAGTAAACAGGAGATGGGTAGAGTATGTAGAAGGACTATAAGGATAGACTGGAGGAAAGAAACGAAAGGTAAATAGATCAAATTACCAATTCTGGAGACAGAAGTTAAGGCAGCTGTGAGCAAAATAAAAATTAATAAATCTTGTGAGGTTGATCAGCTTCCAGCAGAATTTATGCAGTAAAATAAATGGGCAAGAATAGGATAAAATGTTTGACTAAAATATGTAGTTCGATATACTTCAAAGGAGACCTTCCCAGTGATTCAAGAAATCAATATTTGTATTATTACCTAAAAAGCCAAAAGCTTTAGAGTGGTCCCAGTTGAGAACAGTAAACCTAATAAGTCATCCCGGCAAAGTTTTATTAAATATAATTTTAAGTGGAATAAAATTTAGAATAGAAAGTGAGTTATCTGAAGATCGAAATGGATTAAAACAGGAACTAGAGATGCTATATTTGGCTTGAGAATTTTTAGTGAAAGGACTTTGTAGGTCCAAAGGAATTTGTATATCTGCTTTGTTGATTTTTCAAAAGCTTTTGATATGGGAAACCACAAAATAATTATAGAGATCGTGGAAGAAATATGCGTTAATGAAGGAAATATTAGACATTTAAAAGATCTTTACTGTAACAAGAGCCTTCAGCGTATAATGAACTTATTAATTAGTACAGTTGGAGAGGAAGTAAGACAAGGCTGTGTTCTATCTCCAACATTGTATAATATATATTCAGAATTCTTAGTGAGAGAAGTTATAAGTGATAATGAAGGACTAAAAGTTAATGGTAAAGTAGTATCAAATATACACTATGCAGATGATACTGTTCTTATCACAGGTAGTGAAGATCCGTTACGAAACTCGTGAAAAGATTAGTGGATAAAAGTGAAAATATGGTTTAAGAGTTAATGCTGTAACGACTAAAGTAATGGTTGTTTTCAAATTGGAAATAAATCCCAAGATATAAATTATGGTGGGAAATAGGAAACTTAAACAAGTGGACATTTTTGTGTATTTGAGAAGAAATATATGGAAGAAGTCAAAACATAAATAGGGCAAGGAAAATCAGCATTTAATAATCTAAAAGACTAATGAAAAGGTAAATTAAATTGAGAAAAGGGCTGCTGAAAGTCTTTATAAGGCAAGGACTGTTGTATGGGTCAGACGTGTGGACACTTTCAGCAGACACCAGAAAGAGGTCAGCTGCCTTTGAAATGTGGTGTTATATGCGAATGCTAAGAATAAGTTACACTGACAGGAAAACAAATTAAGAAGTATTAAGATTAGCAAAAACTTCAAGAGAAATACTTGAAATACATAGAAAATGAAGCACTTTGGTTATATAATTATGGATGAAGGGATAATAACAGAAATATTAATGGGCAAAGTTGAAGGTAGGAGGGCCAGGGGAAGGTAGAGGCTGAGATGGATTAATGAAATTAAAAACTGGGTCCCCCAGAGAGATACAAAACCTTGGAGGATTAATAAAAAACCAGCCTAAGAACGTTTAGAGTGGAAGACTATGGTCGCCAGCCCTCAGGTATGAGGATGGTACTCTGAGTGTTTGGCAGAGAACCATTGCCATTTGAAGTATGACACTCTTTTGATAGTGGACAAATAAACTTTGCCATCTCCTCAACTTTATGCTTTCAACTAATTCCAATTTTGTAATACCAACCAAAATAATTGTGTTATCAGTGTACTACTATTCTGTCGTACCCCTGATGCAGGGCTGGACCTTGCACACTTTAAAAGGCACTGTGGGGAAGTCTTACTGAATCTCAACCACCAGCTACATAAGGTTGAAGATTTCTCAGCTAAGCTAAAGCACACATTCAGTACGCTCAGACACTTAACTTATCTTGTGAAGTTCAAGGAAGACTTCAACTAGTTGATCGTTGTTACGTTGAGGTTAATAACCGGAAAAATATAAGTACAACACAATATCATGTATCTTGTTGGTGTTCTAGCTCTTGGTGTATGAACAGCTCTGACTGTGTCCCACGCCATAGGCCTACGTCTCGACCCAAAAGAGCAGGAACCATCCCCCTTTGACACGTCACGCTTATTAGTTTAAGCAAGTACACTTTTATAACTCGGTGTTACTTCTTATTATTTATCGTTAAAATACAATGGTAAACGATTATTAGTTTAAGTATATAAACTAATTTACTAGATTTAAAATAAATGATGAGATTAGTCAACTCGTCTCAACCCTGTGAACTAGCTGATGGACAATACATTCATCAGACAATTATTTTTATAATAGCAATAAACCAACACCACTTTTTATAATTTTATACGCGTGAATCGAGAATTATATGAATTAATGAGAAATTCATGATTTCCTCCTGACAATAAGCGTATTTCACATTGAATTCACCCAGAAACCCACTACCCGAGCATCCAAGTATGCTTAGGGTTTCGTGGGGCAAGTTGCAGCTACCAGGTTTTATCTAAAAATATTATTATTACTGCGCGTGGAATTATATATAATAATTTCCACCCATATGTTTATTTGTCTAAAATAAATAGAAAAGAGTGCCAAGTGTTTGTCTGGTCATCAACACTCTGAAACAATTATAAACTTACTAATTACAAGTAACTCCAGCTGAAACTACATGGATAGTTATGAATTGAAAGTGCGAGTGGTAAAGATAACATATTATTTTACAAGTCTCCACCACACGGTTACATTAAAGTGTTAACTGGAGGATTACCAAAACCTATAACCGGTTCATAATAAGTGATCAATGTTGACAATAGTTTTGATCATCTCCCAATGGCGCTATACCAATAATCTTGTCCTGCTACCGTGCTTACAACTATTTTTTTTCAAGATTGTGAATTCTTCAGTTCTTCTCTAGTTTATTTTTCTCTATTTCTATTTCTCCTGTTTAGTAGGATTTTGTCTAGTTCTTCGGGTTTCTAGTTTTAATTCAGTGTTTTTGAGGTTTTCTTCAAACTACGGTCTTTTATCCTTCGATTTTTGTTTTCTTTTTCCCTTTGGTTACTGTCTTTTTCATAGTTCCTCGAGTTTTCTAAGAATTTTATCTTTTACGACAGTGTATACTTCTGTTCCCTTAGTTATCTGGCATTCCTTCGTCAGGTTCCTGGACAGTTACGGGAAAGAAGGTGTCAACTTCTGGGGTTTGACGGCACAGAACGAGCCCCTTGACGGCTATCTTCCGGGATTTGGCTTCAACTGCATGGGGTGGACAGCAGAACAACAACGGCTGTGGGTTGCTGAGAATCTCGGACCTACTCTCCAAGCTCATGGCTACGACGAAGTCATCTTAATGATTCTCGACGATCAGCGATTCGAACTGCCGAGGTGGGCTAAGAAGGTGAGGTCATGAGAGGCCAGTGAAGGGGTGGTGGTAGGGTGTGGGAGGGATTCATCATGGGTAAGTTGGGTAAAGGTGGTGTTGAGGTGAGATAAAGTAATCAATCAAGAGTGTCATTGTCGGGAATTTGGAATAGAGACTTACGCTTGCACGTACAGATACGAGACCCTACTCTTTACCAGCTAATACATACCACTGCTACACCATCAAATACCTCGGAGCAGACTTTTGTGAGGTCGGAAGTCGTTAGTCATCGACAACTACCTGAGACGTCGCAACAGCTGTGCGTGATAACTGGACATTGCGCAGTGCTAAAGGGACCAGTGGATATCGGCATCAAGCTGGGTCTTGACTACCTCGCAAGAGTCAATTGGACCTTGGTTCGATGTTGTTGAAAATTAAAGGAAAGCTGGGTGGACAGAGGTGCCGTTTACACGCAAGGTGAACGGTGCCTTGTATACCCGTCTGGGAATGGCGAAGCCTGATTGTCAGCAGTGTTGCCGGAGAGAGGCACTTCCCAAGAAGTGTAGTCGCACTATAGAGAAGGAGGAGCCATCCGTTTCTGGGGAAGGCCTTGGGAAGTTGCAGCTGGAAGACCAAGGCCTGTGACCAGTGGTCAAGTCGATGAGCCAGAGCTCAGTGTGGCCAGCATGGGAAGTGGACTTTGAAGCAAGTCCTGCGACTAAAAACTACTGGGCTCAGTGCGATGCCCTTCGGCTGAAGAATGGTCCGCTGCAACGCCTGGATGCCGCTAGAATGCTTTAGGCGTCTGACGAGACATATAGTGTATAAATACCCGCTAGCTGCCTAGAGGAAGTCAGTCTCCTGTTTCTGCCCGGAGTGTGAAGTATAAGTCTAGTGACAACTAAAGATAACTGTTGTTTAAGTATTGTGGAATTGTTGTGAGCGATGTAAAGTGAAAGGACTAAGGAAATGTACACTGGCAGTGTGCTGACTTTATATTTGGAAGTGAGAAGTCCAGTAATGAGGACATACCAGATGAACAACCTTGTGAAGAGCTATGTTTCTGTGACCTGGTGGAAATCTACCTGCCTGTTGTTTGTTTGTACACTGATGCCGATCCAGGGAAATTACCGGAGACTGGAAAGACAGCTAGTGCTAATTCGACGAAATTTGTGATATATCTACTACGTCTGTATATTCGACCTGGCCGCTGGTAACCAGTGATGGAGGCTTGTAAGCAGAGGCAGGGATTCGTAACAATGTTAACTTTGAACTGAGAAAAGGATTGCTGAAACACTATGCAGGAGTCATTACTGGTGTACTGAATGGATCAAGAGAGAGGACACTTTAAACTATAGAATGCTAAATATATTGATACTGATGAAGAAAAAAACAACAACAGAAAACAGACTAAGTGCTGAGATTGACTGGAACAATTAAGATTCATATAATTTAAATTTTTTTTGGGCCATCTAGTTGAAGACAATGATTAAAAAACTAAGGATAGAAGACCCTCAAACCTAGGAATGGCACTTTGACTGATTGATTATGAAATGAAGGGGACAATGAGGGAAGAAGAAGAACAAGAAAAACAACAAGAAAAACATAATAATGATACGAATGTTCAAAAGACAATACCACCAAACACAGAGCAAGAGGAAGCAGATAAAACACAAAGCTAAGCATTATGGATTTGAATATCATGTAAAGATGTACCTTACAGTTCTCTTTATTTGTTGCGTAATTTATGGGGCCTCATGGAGCCTGAAAATTATCCCGGGATTCTTCTTCCGGCGACACATAAGAGTAGCAGAACACTAATTCTTGAGAACTCCAGGTTGGATGAATGAGACGGACAGACAGACACAGACAGACAGACAGACAGAGACAGACAAACAGACAGACAGATAATTTACCCTCCTCCACAAATTGAACTCTACACACTTGCCTCATAACTGGAGTTCTTTACCTCACTCCTACTATATCACTCTTCCTCTTCCATGACAGGTACTGAACGACACGACGGCGGCTCAGTACGTGGACGGCATCGCTATTCACTGGTACGGCGACAACTTCTCCCCGGCGAGCCTGCTGGAGGAAACCCATGACCTGTTCCCCGACTTCTTCATCCTGGGCACCGAGGCTTGTGAAGGTGAAGTGGAAGGTGTTATTGGTGACTTGTAGAAGGTTGGTGTTGTTGGCAGGTATAATGGTAGCTGTTGTTGTTGGCAGGGAGGGTGATTGGTGGCCTCGTCTACAGAATCAATCGTAAAATTCTTGAGAATCTTCATCATCTTGTAAATGCAACGCACAATGCATGGGGGGGTGGGGGTGGGGGTGGGTTACCTCAAGTCGCAACTTCTATTAACGGGTCGATCAATAGCTCCATGGGCACATCACAGACAAAATTTGTACCTTATGAAGGACTTAGAGGCAAATCTCACCCTGTATCCCATATGGACGATTTCGCTACTGAGTAAATCTGCATCTTCACAAACATCCATGGTTAAATACGGACACATTTAGCAGCGTCATGCGCTGAAATGATTTATAAGCAACACAAGCAGGCTAAGTCTCTAACGCCAGAAATAGGCGACACTGTCATGGTTAGAGAACCTGAACGGATCTTTCAACTTTCGCTCAAATTTTCAGGTCCATCCCTGATTATCGCAAAGGAAACGGGCAACAGATTTGAAACCAAACACACAAACATCAGACATAGTATATGTATGGTCAGATATAAAAGGGGTACACCCTGTATAACTACCTAGGGATGTCAACGATATCCCAGCACATTTGCTCAAATTACAAACATATCGAGTACACCAGCTGTATCTAATGATTATTGTTTATAACTACGCTCTGCAAACCAATTGTAAGATTTTATACCCAATTTCTATATAATACCAATGACAAGCTCATTGCTGATTTAATTAACACAGGTTTAAGACACGTGGATGCCCACCTCTTGCTTGTACACACTCTTAATCTAACCCCAAAATTGCATTCAACAATTTTGATTTTTTTCTCCTTTAACTAGAAGCAATGCTACCGCATACTGTACTTCTATTAATAGTCACAGTCCAGTGTTCTCACCACTTGACAAATGGAACCTTTCCCAGTATTATGTAATGACACACTTGTGACCCTGGATAAACAAATTGAACATTAGTAGTGCCTGATCACATCTCATTTGTTTTAGCAGTGGATGATCCTAAGGTGAAGTCACAGTGTATATCGTCATACAATATGTCTCACTTTAAAAAGCTGGTTTTCCGGCACCTTTGGTGTAGATCAATATAATCTTTTTCTTTTCTATTTAATTTATTTTTACTCATATTTTTTCGCCCCTTAGGCCACGTTGTGGGTCGATGACCTGTGCCCGGGTGGGCTATTCCCCGTAAAAAAAAATGCATGTCCGACCTACGCATTCGCATTTATTTCTGCTGCAGAAGGAATACGCGAACTGTCACTCATACAAGCGACTGCTCGCACAGTTCTTACACAATCTATTTATATCCCTAGTTCCACGAATACGGTGTTTCATGAACATCTTCACAACGTGTTATATTTTTCACTGACCAACCCAGTGTCATTTTACTATGCCAGGATGGTGATAAGCACTCCATAGTTATTATATTGCTTCGGACTATTGCGAACTCACTAGTAGTGCCGTCATAACCTTGCCAGCCCATCATCATTTTTGGCCTTTAATTTGATTTTAACTTCAGAGCTGATGTCTTGATTATTTAAATGTTAATATTGCTCCCAGCCAACTCCATCTAGCTTCTGAAAATGTATTATTATTTTTCTTATCCCAAAGAAACACAAACCCCTTCATTTGGATATTTATTTTTCTTCTGATTTTATGATTCCCAGTTTTGTTGTACCAACTTAGTCTCATTTTATCAATTTTATGTATGTTTTAATATTAGACATATATCTTCAAAAGCTGCAATTGTACATTCTAAAGCCCTGAGATGTAAGGCATTTAAGTGTAAGAATTCAGAATCTCAACCCCCAGCTGTAGATTCCTCAATTTAGCTACAGCACATCTATTGATAACATGGATAGGCATCCATAGGTATTATTTTATAGTACATGGTTAGTTTATGCCTCATAGAACTCGGAGGGTGGTGGACGAGCAATGTATTAGCTCCTGCCTAACAGACAGTATTACTTATATAAATGTGGGTTACATACATTACCTTTATATGATTACATCACCCACGGTAACTTTCCTTTGAGATGTGAGTATTCATTAACTGGACAATGTATTCCTACTGTGCCCTCACACCTTGGCCGCAGAGTCATCAATTAAGTAGCCGGCTATCACCAATTCGACTCCTATCTCTGAGCCACTGAGACGTGTGCTCTAAGAAGCTAGTTATGCCTAAGCTACAGCTCATGGTGTTTATTACGGTGATATCCTAGTTATTGTGCAATAGTTTATTATCTTGTCTCATCAAATGTTAGTGCTTGACAGTTCTCAGGCACAATATTCAGTGATCCTATTGAATATGTCATGTACAGTACACTTCAAATACATGTCGTTGCTATCTCTGAATCAAACACTACATGCAAGAGCAGATCATCAGTGAGATTATGCAGTAGAATTTTGGTCCGGATTTTGTAAATTAATGTAGATGAAGGAAGGGACACCAGCTACAAGGAACAGTTGGGCATCGTTCTTCGTTACTTGGAAAAGAATAAATCCGTTGAGAAATGAATTAAATTTGTTTGATGGGAGTAGGCAACAGATGGTGTCATTTGTAATGAAGACCACATCATAAACTTAATTCATTTCTCAACGGATTTATTCTTTTTCAAGTAACGAAGAACGATGCCCAACTGTTCCTAGTAGCTGGTGTCCCATCCTTCATTTACTTTAATTTACAATACTGTACAGGCAGACTAATTTTCTGTTAGTCTCTTGAAATTCTGTGCATAATCTTTCCCATTCCTGGTCGTTCGAAACATCTCCAGGCAACACAGCAAACGATATCATAGCCTAACACAGATGGACACTACAAAAACCTGACATTTAAAGCAAAGTGTCTCCCAAACCACGTATGTTTCTATGGTTACTCAGTGATTGAGCGAGGATGCAAGATGGCGCCAGAATATTACGTGACCTGGCTCGATCAATCACGTTAGACCTAGCTTAAGTCCGAATTGGTCAAACTCTTTCTACTCTTAGGTGCTACACCCTTCTTATTAATAACAGTGATAATTTCCACTTCCTTTTTAATCTCTATAGGACCATTTTTGTAAACTTGTTATTTACAGACACTATAAAGGTAACATACTATCACTTCAGTAAGCTGATGCTAAGGTTTTTAACACCTCAATAAAATATGAAATATACAAGTAATTTGTCCCACAAGATTTGGCGTCACCTGTGTGAACTGTTCGTATGAAAACTTTTACACCTTGACACCAACATAATATACCTGAGTTACACTTCAACCAAATCCCAAAAAATCATTGCAAACCACGAAAGATGAAAGAACATGCGAAACTTATGACGGGCAATCACGATGGCCAAACCTCCAACACTAGACAAGATCCCAAAAACATCACTGAATTCCTGGAAGCTTCTAATATGATAATAGCAATAAACTTTTTCACTATCTTTGTCTTTTTCACTGTAGAGGCCTCGGTTTTGTGCGGGCCCTGAAGAGGGACAAATGTTAATGTTCCAAACAACATCTGTTCTAAATAGTATTGTCAGGTTAATCACCAGAATGTAATTCTTATCTCCACTTTACCACTTTATGACATCAGAGTCTTTCTGATTTTTTTTACTTGCTTTTTTAGGGTGTGCAACTGTTCGTAAGTAGAAATTATAAAATTACTTGGATTAAGGCATGGTGTGCCCCCTTGAGCTCGCTAGTCCTTGTACATTGAACAGCCCTACACACCCTATATGGCCGCCACTGATCGATAATCTTTTGTCCATCTCTACAGGAGATGGACTGCTGGACGCCTCCGTAGTTCTCGGGTCCTGGGAAAGGTTGGAGCACTACGCCCACGATATACTTATTGTAAGTTATGGGAGACTTTACAAGTAACAAGAGATATGATACGTATCAGGAGGAGTCGAAGGGTTCAAAGTGACGTTGAAGGTATCAAAGGTTTGCCGATGGTATGAAAAAGACATTGAAAGTATCGGGAGAACGCCGTAGGCATCATAGGACTCTTTAGGCTGTCACGAAACCCGGCGGTGGTAAGGACACAAACAATAGACTGTTCTCCCCTCTGACACACCACACATGTTCCGTTTACCTGTTAGCTGTCTAGAAATGCCCAAAATATCAGTAATTATCAGAAGAATCATCTTCCTCATCATTCACCTCAAAGATATCAGGAAATATCTGTATTCAACATGTCCAAACGTATATTTAAATTTAAGGACTAATTGTCCCGATCCTTGGTATATTCAGTGTGCCAAAGTATTCAATAATTGTTTATTCTAAGCATTATTATATTTAGCTTATAATGAACATTTTCAATAAATATTTGATATTTGGATATGTGCGATATTTCTATTGATTTTAACTCAAACACAACGATCCAGCCATTTGAACGATCCAACTCGGTGTAATTCATTGTGTCTGTGTGAGGCAGACACGTACTTTTGATTCAAATGCTCTGGGCGAAGATACAGGAAAAGTGGTGGAGAGAGCAGGATGGGACTATGCCTGCCGAGTGAGGAAGAGGATGATCAGCAGAGTGGGGGATAAAAGATTGCCAAGGGGTTTGGGTGGCTTCTCTGATCATCGGGTGGAAGTGTACAAAATAACATTAAGAGTCAAGAAGAAAAACCAAGCAGAATAAAAGGCGAGACGTTAAAAATTTAAATTATAAAACCTGATTCTCCTAAGCAGCTGGGTGTAAATTGAATATTTTGGATTCTAAACTAAATGAGGTAAATGTTTTACAGGGATATTTGAAGAACATTTCACAATAGGCTGACCCAAAAGTGCACGAGGGCAGTAACAAAGGACATAACATAAGCTTTGAGAAATAAACTCGTGTGTGTAAGTCAAGATATATGGCGGTATATTAATTAGACGAAGCAATACAGAACTTCTTACACTTGTGAAAGAGATATTTGTTAAAGGAGAACAGTTAATCCATCATATGTTTGCACTTAGCAGGTCATAAGGATAAGCCTAGAATAGAATAATGTTAAGGAAATGGAAAACCCGAAGTAAATATCAGAACAAAACAAAAATAAGAACATATGTAGTTTGAAAACATTAGTATAGGAATAGTTTGAGACTGTATGGAAGGGCGTTTCCTTCAAGTCTTATTGATGATGGTGACGCCCCGGGTGTGTCCAAATAAGGTATTAAGGTAATATAGGTATAATTATGAAGCATATAAAAGGCGGGAGACTAATATATTATGGCAGCACAATATGTCCACATCCCTCAACCCATACTCTCCAAATGTTCCACCCACACAACTTAATGTGGCACCACATATCCACATACTTCACCCACATAGACACCATCTCTATTTACATGTGTACTTGTTCCACCATGATACTCTGCACCTAGGTATAAGTATGGCTCTCACACTTCTGCATGTTACTCCCACGTGTCTACATTCTGCAGGACATGAACCACTGGGTCACGGGCTGGGTAGACTGGAATCTGGCGCTGAACATGGGAGGCGGACCAAACTGGGCCAATAATTTTGTCGACTCGCCCATTATCGTCAACCAGGTATTGTGTGTGATGTACTAAACTGTGTGTGGTGTACTAAACTGTGTGTGTACTAAACTGTGTGTGTACTAAACTGTGTGTTGTGTACTAGTAATATGTAGTGTACCATTAATATGTGTGATGTACTACTACTGTGTGGCGTGCTATTAGTAGTACTGTGTGTGTGTGTGTGTGGTGTACTACATATGATGTGTTAGTACAGTGTGTGGTGTACTAGTACTACATGAGATGTGTTAGTACAGTGTGTGGTGTACTACATGTGATGTGTTAGTACAGTGTGTGGTGTACTACATGTGATGTGTTAGTACAGTGTGTGGTGTACTACATGAGATGTGTTAGTACAGTGTGTGGTGTACTACATGTGATGTGTTAGTACAGTGTGTGGTGTACTACATGTGATGTGTGTGTGTGGTGTACTACATGTGATGTGTTACAGTGTGTGGTGTACTACATGTGATGTGTTATACAGTGTGTGGTGTACTACATGTGATGTGTTAGTACAGTGTGTGGTGTACTACATGTGATGTGTTAGTACAGTGTGTGGTGTACTACATGTGATGTGTTAGTACAGTGTGTGGTGTACTACATGTGATGTGTTAATACAGTGTGTGGTGTACTACATGTGATGTGTTAGTACAGTGTGTGGTGTACTACATGTGATGTGTTAGTACAGTGTGTGGTGTACTAGTACTACGTGTAATGTGTCAGGGTGTACTAGTACTATGTTTAGTGTTCTAACCAGATACTAGTTAAAATTTTACCCATTAGACTCCATGATCTTTGATATTTGTTTAGGAAATGGACGAGTTCTACAAGAACCCGATGTTCTACGCCCTGGGTCACTTTTCCAAGTTCATCAAGGAGGGTGCGGTGAGGGTAAGCTTGACCTCTCCTGACTCGCAGAAGCTGGACGCTGCCGCCTTCACCAACCCTGATGGCTCTCATGTCGTGGTCATCCTCAACAGGTTTGTACACATGCATATATATATATATATACAGATACTTAAACACAAACTCACAACCGCAGCAAATTACTTTGAATAACGAGTCATCCGATAATAATGATAGACGACTTTTGGGGTGAGGCACTACGAGTATAGTGACGGTTTGTATGGCTCTAGCCCCCTGCCCTAAGAGTTCGCTCCGAGGGCCCCCTAGTCCACCCAACTATGAATGGGTTTGGAAGACTGTTATATTTCACACAAAGCCTGTTTAACGAGCTTATGGCGCCGTGAACCTCTAATGGGGACCACCCGTTCCGCTTAGGCTTTGTGTGAAATATAACAGAGTCTAGGTGTGCTTTTAGTGTCCTGGTGGCCCAGAGGTAGCGTTCCCCGGTCACAATTATAAGATCGTGGGTTCGAATCCTGGCGGGGTGAGGTGTTGATTATATGTAGAAGTCCGCGTGCTTTATTGGGCTAATGAAATATATATGGATCCTCATGTTTCGAAGCTGGATTTGGTAAAACGTTGCTCTGAGCACCTAAGCGGCACGGGTGGTCCCCATTAGAGGTTCACGACGCCATAAGCTCATTGAACAGGCTTTGTGTGAAATATAACAGTCTAGGACTGCTTTTTAGTGTCCTGGTGGCCCAGAGGTAACGTTCCCCAGTCCCAGTCATAGGATCGTGGGTTTGAATCCTGGCGGGGTGAGGTGTTGATTATATGTAGAAGTCCGCGTGCTTTATTGGGCTAATGAAATATATATATATATATATATATATATATATATATATATATATGTATTCAAATTTGCCATAATCATCGTCCATTTATTTTCTCAATATTCATATATTTCCTTCGTCTTCCAAGAACCTAAGAGATATGTGTTTTTCAGGTCGAACGGTGAGAAGAAGGTCGCGGTGAGGATTGATGACAGAGGCACTATGTCCCTCACAGTGGGGCCTCGTTCCCTCCACACCGCCGTCTTCCAGTGAAAATGGTGGCACAGGTGGTGGTGAAGGTGGTGGTACAGTCTGGTGGTGAGGGTGGAGGTACAGTTTGGTGGTGAAGGTGGAGGAACATGTAGTGGTGAGGGTGGAGGTACAGTCTGGTGGTGAAGATAGAAATAGAGATGGAAGAGATATTTACCATAGAAACGAGCCGGGTTGAGGTAAAACATTGTTATTTATTGAAGACTATTAACGGTTAGAAATTATAAAGTGTGAAGGAAGACTAAGGTAAGGTGTTGTGTGTAGAAGCAACCAGATAGATTTCCTGAGATGTATAAGGCTTTGTTGTGTAGCATCCCTTGTCTTATGCTACACTTGACCAAATTCATTTGGTCCATGTACACCCTTCTAACTAACGAATGACATTGAGAAAAATAAAATAAAATAATAAATAAATTAGCATACACGTCGAAAATATAATTGTAAGTCCATATATTATTACTGAACCGATATAAGTATTTTCATTTTTATCAAACAGACATTATAAAAAGATTTAGATAAAAACATCTGCCTGAGAAACGTTTGCAGTACATTTATAAAATTCACATTCAATTCTTTAAGAAAATTGTAAATAACACCATATGAAGTTAACAACGTTGCCTAAGTAATAAAGTATGTAGAGCAAGAGTAGATCCCAAAGACCTCTCATTCATCCTTGATTCGACAATCTTGGTAAGTTAATATATAATGTAGCCCACTGGGTAAAAGTTGATTTGCGGGTTGATGACCTCTTTGGTGGTTATGGCACGTGGCGGTCTACCTTATTTCATGGTTTATGGTTTTAAGACCGTGTTTTGGAAGACCCAATCTAGGGAGGCTGTCTATTGCCTTGCCATGACCGGGGTTAGTGTGGTATGGTAATTTTTGGGGGAAATTCTCTCTGTTTGCTCTCCTTTTCCTAATCATATCGCACTGTTGTTTGTGTTTGCCCTATTATTGTAACCAAGATGTATAACAGCCGCTTGATGGATCTTACTCTCAAGTCTTTGTGTAATTTGGCTATGATTCTAATGTGATGAAGGTCAGGGTTTGGTTCTGCACGACCTGTAGTTTAAGAGTTTGGTGCACAGAGTGTATTGTTAAGAGTTGGGGATTTAGAATTTAGTTAAAAGTCTACCCAGATCCCAACAGGCAACAACAATAAAAAAACTTAAACAAACAAAGACAATCGGACTATAAAAGGGTAGACAAAGGATGCGAGTTTTTGTTGTGTATAATAAAGTACCACAAATTCCTTAACAAAATATTCAGCTTTCTACAATTTACCCTTAACCATACTTAACCTAAACATAAGCAACATTGGCTTAACAGTATATACATATTTATACAACATACAACAATCTGAAGCAAGTGGAGGTGGGAGGCAATATAGGATTACAAATACTCAAGTGTGGTGCTGAGGTGTCTGACGAGTAAGGCTGAGCATTGAAGAAGATGGTAGGTAGTCACTGTGCCGTAGGTTTCCAGGATAGGTGATCCTAGTGTGGTCACTTCCCAGAGTGAACTGAACTCTCCTTGATCCGGAGCTGATGAGGAAGACTTGGAGGAGGTGACGCAACAACCAGGATATAGAGAAGGGAAACCGGGAGTGGTGACTAAGACTAGTCATACTCGGGTTTCGTCCCTAGATGGAGTTGCTCGTGGTGCTGGGTAGGTATATCATGACAATAGATGGCGTGGTTCGTAACAGTATAAAGGTACTGCTGGACAGGTAAAAATCGGTATTATAAATGTATCAATCAAGTGGAGTTTTACATCCTCAGGTGGGGCATTGATGAGGTATTTCTTCAGCTTCCTTTTCGCTCTTTACTTTCTAGCATAGACATGATGGTCGTACCCTGAAGAGGATCTGTTCAGATCCAAAAGGGTGCCTCTAATACCTCATTATATTGGGCCATTGTCGATTGAGAGTAGTTCAGTTTACCTTTTCCAAACGTATCACTTTGAATTCGAGGAGATTGTTTGGGATTTGCCATTTTTTCTCGAAGTTGTTCATTCTTTCTACTTCCTTTCCGGTGTTTCCATCTAAATTGCACGTGATTTCGTTTCCCATCTTTGTTGGAGATGGAATTACACTCGTGTAGATGATAAAAAATATGGTAGGAGAAAGGACGCTGCCCTGGGGAACAATTTTTATGTGTTGGCAAGGATGCCTAAATGAACGATTTCGTTTTTCAGACCATCATGCCACGTTTTATCAAACGAGTTCGTAAAATAGAGAGAATTTGTTGCGACTCTAACTATGTCTGTAGTTCAGTCCATTGCTCAGTTCCATTGAAGTCCCAAGGTACTTTCTGGAGAGTTTTTCACAAATTCTTCCTGGAACTTCGTGGGATATTGGTCTTAATTTCAGGGGAAGTGCGAGTGTGGTGTGACTGGTCTTCCTATTCTCTGTTGACGAGTTCTTCTCGTATGTGATATTGAATGTTTCTCCATACAATTATAAAGATGGGTTCGTTGTCCTACTCATCGTAGAATTTGTTGCCTACCTGGTCCATTATACATTCCGAGTTGATGATGCTGGTACAGTTGGGGACTTTTCCAACTGTTACAGTCAGCGTTGTCAATCCGAGAGGTGTGAACCCCGAAAGTATCGACTAGTGCATCCAAAGCATTCATGAGTGAAAGGGAGAGGTGGTCCTGGGATGACGGTATCAGGGTGTGAGTGAGTTATGGGGGTTGAGGAGGGTGTTCAGAGCTAGAGGGATGGGAGAGGGTTAGGAGTTTCACTGAAATTCCTTAACCTTAACCTTGTTATGCTTAGAATGTTTTACCGCACATTAAGGTCGTGTTCCTAGCTTGTGCATATTTATTTATTTATTTATTTATTTATTTTATTTATTTTATTTTTATGCAACTCTCACGTAATCTAGGGATGATTGGAGGACGGGCTGGAGTCTCAATGTGGTGTCCTTTTATAACAGGGTGACTTTCATGACCCAATACATAACGGATGTATTTGGTTATATTTACATTAGCATTAAATTATTAATATTGTGTAATTTACAACAAAAGGTACCGAAGAAGTTGACAAACTACGTTTATTATAAATAACATCAAGGAGTTTGAAAGTTTGGGGGGGGACTGCGAGAAGGTATTCTGTATACTCCTAAGGAACTCGCTCCGGAAAAATGTGTAACCAGTGAGGCCAAATGGCACAAGTTTCAGCCAGGTCTCTTCAAAGGGCGCAGGTTGAAGTTTTCCAGCAACCAATATCACAATATTTACCCAAGCTACCAACGTCACAAGCTATCGCACCAACTGTCACTTCACCTAGAACTTCAGGAACGCTGACTAGTCCGTCTTCCATTGTGGAAATTCAGACAAGAACCTCCACCGTGTGTCAACAACATCCCAGGATGCCAACATTAAGATAGGAATTCAGATCTTCCATGCCTTTGATATTATGGCCAGATTGCCACCTGGAGGCGTTCTTATGGCCTGACAACCTTTAACAACCGATTACGCAGCAAACCGTGACAGGCGGCCAGAAAACCGAAAGATCAAGGTAGAGAGGCCTGGTTTCAGGGTCTTGAGGTACTCTATGGTGGAATAAGTTGGGTAGTTGGTAAATGAAAAATGTCTTTCACTACACCAAAAAGAGCGTTTTACGGGACAGCCATGAGTATGTTTCAGGTCAGGTCAATACATGAACCAGGAACTCCTCGTGAGAAAGGATCAAGTTAGAAGGATGAGACCTGGAGGTTTGACGAAGTCATATACATTCGTACCTCAGCAATACCAACCATGCTTCCAGTCACCATTCCAGAGAATCTGCCAGTCTTTGAAAAGGCATTCAAAGAAGAAAATTGGCTTAAAAATATCACACAATCTACGTAATCTCAGATATCCTACGAAGAAGTGTCATGGCTTCAAACACGTGGCAGAACTTTGGTAAAGAACTAACTCACAATGACGGGCCTCTTCCCCCATCAGTGCAATGGATGAAAGCTTTGATGTTCTTCAAAGGTTCTGCCACAAGTTTCGAAGTGGAGTGCCTCCCACCAACGGCCGATACTCTACTCCATTCGAACGAAGCCCTATATCAAGCCTTCATCTGGGCCAGAAGTGACTCCTCTACTGAAGATGCCATCTCCAGATGATTACGGATGGAAGAAGGACTCAGACACCTCCCCCATGGAGCCCCCTAACCTCGCCATTTCTTGCACCACCTCAGCACTGTGGATGTAAAAGTCCATGTAGCTCCTGCGCCTGCAGGAAGTCTGCATTCCCCTGCACTCGTTTGTGCACTTGCTCCTGCAGTAAATGAGGACTAATACCTCATGAAGGCCTAGTGTTAGCTCTTTGTGTTTGATATGAATGTTTTCCATAATATGTGTCATAAATACCCAATTATTTTCAGCGATTGTTGTAGTGATGTCTCTAAGCTGTGGACCGAACCTGATTGGTAATGACAGTGTTAATATTATATGTACAGAATCAAGAGATGAATCAGCATTTAAAATGCATCATTTGTGCGTGTCCAAGTTCAATAATAAACATTGTAAACATATTTTTTATATGTTCTCCTATATTGTTTTTGGCAAAAACAACACAACAAATATTTACCATGAGTTTGGTCATTCCTCAAGGTCACTGTTCAGATTAGGCCATTACCAACACTGTAATCACCTTTGTCTCGCTATGACGGTTCATATTATAAGTCACGATCACGAAATTGACGTGATGACCCCGTGTGTATGACCAGGTGACCTGGTGGGTTACATGTGCTTTAGATTAACACCCAAACCAGCCTTCTAGACCGTCGGGGAGTCATTTTGGGGTTGTTTTTAGCATCTGACCTTGATACTCTGATTGACCTTGACTTTTAAACCTTTACCCTTTTGGGCCAGAAAATTTATATTACCACAAGGTGCATCTTTTACTAATTTTCAGGTTCTTATCCACAGTTGAGGTAAATATGCAGATGTTCCCCTGACTATCGGTGGCCTTTCCCAACATGTCATCGTCAGAATCATAGTGAACCTTCTTTAAAGCTATTACATCCACAAATATCGAGTACAAACATTACCGAAAAAATACCCCAGGGTGTCCATAAATGTTTACCCTAAAAACAGTTTGCTCTCATGTTTTAATCGGGGCAATCATTTATGGACACTCTGTACGTTGGTCATGTGTTCGGAAAGGCCTCTGAGGGTAACGCTATACCTGTGGGTAACTGTGCATATAGAAGAGCAGGCATACAATGTGCATATTGTAGGTATAAAAAAAATGTATTGGGAGTTAATACAATAAGCTGTTTATACACAATACAGTTGTACAATCAATGGTAATCAGTAAGCCGATTCGACGACCAAAGATAGCGCAACTGAGTCAACATACGCTGATTTACCTTTTGTCAATAAAAGACTTGAATCTTTTTTGCTTCGTAAGTGAATCAAATATTTGTATGTTGTGATTTTGAGTAGTTTAAAGGTGTATGAATCTGTGACGACGTTGTTGAAAAAAAAGCGATTCTGGATGTAATCTTTCATTGATGTTTATGGTCAAGATGAAGATGATTAAGGAAACATCTTGATGAGTTGTTCAGGTGTTGTCACTTGTGAAAGGTCTCGGGGACTGCCAGAGATATTGGTACTTAATTAGCAGGTACGTATCTACCGTCTTTACAAAGAAGTGGATGCCTGGAGGCAGGGCCATCAGTCAACCAGGGGCCTCCACACAGACTGGAGTACGCGTATACCTGTGTTGAAATAAGATATTGTAGCGTCACTTTGTTAAACTGTAAGACATTTATACCTGCCAATGACAATGTCATAAAGACGATAAAATATTTACTGGTGTTCTATCTGCTCATTATTGTGTATTCTGGTGTGTGTGCATCTTAGTGTATGTTTATGTGAAATGTAAATATTAAAATTCATTTCCATATTATGATCATTCTCTCTCTCTCTCTCTCTCTCTCTCTCTCTCTCTCTCTCTCTCTCTCTCTCTCTCTCTCTCTCTCTCTCTCTCTCTCTCAATTAAACACTTACTTCCTTTGGGCCAAAGTCCAAGTCACCGTCTTCAGCCAAGGCATTGCATAAAGTCTGGCCCGCCGACACACCGTTGTCGAGTATGGTATCCAAGTCTCCGTTGTTAGTTAATTCATCCCACTGTAAGATTAGTTATTATTCTTTAACAGTCAAGTTATAATGTCACAAAATAATTATGGATCACCTGAAGTTTAGAAGTAAGTGTAAATATCTAGTCTTATATTTTTAACTCTTATTATTGAGTGGTTATTTTGTCAAGAAAAATTCAATATAAAATGAATATTCATGATTTGTGTTATTGGAGAGGCAAATCTACTTGTACAGTACACTTGTACCTGTGCATGGCATCCGCTAACACAGTCCTCGTCATCATGACAGTTTTTCACCTCGACGTCGGGAAGGTTGACCACCTCACGCACATCAGTACTCTCGGCAACAAAGGCGCCGCACTTACACTCGGCCTCATCTTGAGCCCTGCCAGTGGAATGTGATTGCTGTACTGTCTGCTGCTGGGGTTCGGTAGACAGAAGTTTTTTCAAGGTTCGTAACCGCTCGACGGGACAGTAATTCATCATGTCGGATAAAGCGCATAACAATGTTACTCTTCTTTTACTATTTTTTTAACGAGGATTAGCCCACCTGGGCAAAGGTCACCGACTCACATCGGGGGGCAGGAGGGTGGGGGGCGATAATGAATAAATAAATAAATTTCACCACAAATAAATACAAAAAAAAAAAAAAATGATCAGGTAAGGAAACAATATATGTATGTTGTGTTGTCAAAGTAAGAGAAACACTCGAGACCCTGCAATTGTGTGTAAATGAGGCAGAAAGTCGGTTCAGCAACCTGGGACTTTGTCACAATTTTTGTGATGCCATATGGCAGCAGGGTCTACCATTAGACAATAGATTATGCTTCCAATATCTTCCCAGGCAGTAGTACCTCCTTGTTTGATAGTTGCCTACTACTTACTACTGAACTGCGACGCACGGTATTAATTTATATCCTTTTTGATTGCCTGTTTGAGAAAATAGCTTGAAAACGCATTTGCGTCTTTGCACCAAACTTAGTATGTTTGATCAACATGTAACAAAGTTTACATGATTAAAATTTGGTGCAATGGAGCCAAAATTTACCAAACTTTACCATGGTAGTTGTTGGTATTTTGGTAATAGATAGGGCATTAACTCATACTAACGGCATCAAAAGTGTTGTTTATCCTGCCATGGCAACGGCAAGCGGGTAATATTTGTATCCGCTAGGTTGAAGGTTAAGATGAAACGTTTTAATAATCATTATGGAAAATCGTTGCAGAGGTGAAAATTATATTCCACCCAACAATGTTCATTATACTTGCTGTGCTTAATATTGTCATTAAGTATATGTATATATATATATATATATATATATATATATATATATATATATATATATATATATATATATATATATATATATATATATATATATATATATATATATATATATATATATATATATATGTGTGTGTGTGTGTGTGTATATACGATAGTTTAGTTATTGCTAATTGTAACGGTTGTCACATTTGTGTCTGTTTGGGTTAATTTAGTAAATTTGGTGTTGATAAATACTCGTTGTTTATCACCCAAAAACTTAAAACATCTTGTGGTTCATCTTACAGCTTCACCACCAGTTATATCCTTTATTATTTCATGTTTGTTGTATATTGATGTTACAACAGTTGAGATTCACTCTGCTAGCTACACCGCGGCATACTTTCAGACAAAACATTCCTTTTCTCTTCTCTTATTACGGTATCCGCCAAGAGGAATTAAGCAAGAAGACTGTGGCCAAATGGCACAGTAGATACTGTTCCCTATATTTAAAGTTGATTTTACATTCTATTTTAAAAAGTGATTATTGATGTCATGTTGATAGCATTTGTTTAGTCATACTTAAATGAGTGACATCTGATTAATAATTAGAATGCGAGAAGTAAGCAGTTACTGGTATATACACCTCGCCAATAATAAGTGGATGCTCAAGAGTGTCCAGCCACTTCCAGGGTGCTGTAAATATTATGTAAGCAATTACTTACCTCACTAATGCAGTACCAGTTAGGGTTATGTCTTAGTTATGAAACATGACAAGTATATAACCAAAATTATTAGTGCAGTATAATGTTTACCATGCAAGGGCGATGTAGGAGAGCAGTATCACGAGAAACTTCATAGTGCTCTTTAGAAGTATTGATAAGACCACCAAGTAACAGTCTGCTTTATACTGACTACGGAGAGACCCTGGCCAGGGTTAAAATTAACCCAGGCAGCTGGCGGTTCCCAGCCACCCTCTACCACACCCTCTCCCTCAAGGATATTATACTGTACTGTACTGTAATGTACTCACGACTAACAATTTACGTTGTCAAGTGTCTGACTGTTCTTCACATAAGCCAGTAAAATGAGTAGGATTTGGAAATAATTTTATTACAACACAACAAATCTTGCACACATTAGTGTAACTTAAGGGATAGGTGAATATGCTGTAAGGTTACGAAAATAGCCTATCAATATATCTATTTCCTCCCACGAAATCGTACTTTGGAAACAAACATTTGTCTAAGGATGACAATTGCTTGTTTTTTGGGTAGAGACACGTCGGGAAAATACCGCTACGTTTCAATGTGATGCAGTTAGGGAGATCAACGAATTCACCAATTTAGATTGTTGCATCCCCAACATTAATGGTTTTAATGCACGCAGGTTTATCATTCTCATCTTGTGGTCCTGGTATGTGTCTCAGTTCACTGCAGGGGTTAAGAGAGTCAACAATTTCTCCTGGTGTGGCGCTGGGGTGCGTTTCATCCTGTGTTGGTAGGGTGTCTGCTGCTCAGATCTGGTTGGTGGTCCATATCAGGCATTACAACACTTACAGGCACTACTGTAACTTGTCACTTTCAGTCTTTGCACTGTGTTGTTGGTGGGAGGTTGTTGATAAATCCTGGTCGGGGGAGGGGTCAACAAGGCCGGCTAAACATCTATAGTAATAATAATAATAATAATAATAATAATAATAATAATAATAATAATAATAATAATAATAATAATAATAATAATAATAATAATAATAATAATAATAATAATAATAATAATAATAATAATAATAATAATAATAATAATAATAATAATAATAATAATAATAATAATAATAACAATAATAATAACAATAATAATAACAACAATAATTAACGGTTTATTGAAAGAGCATGGCAGCCGGAAAGCTGAATATATACAGTTATGTAAGTGGGGAATAGGTCACTTGATTGACAAATAATATACAAGTCACATATGTGATACAAATATGATATATAATAACTAGGTGGGGAGAAGGTCATACTAAATGGCTTTTCAACATAGTGACAGTGCAAAAAGGTAAGATTGACTGGAAGTGAATACACTGGTTGATTACCAATTGTTGATGATTTTTACAATGGTTGGGACTGGGCTGTTCTTATAACGATCAGTACGTGCTCGCATGGGCTGGATGCGGTTATGGTGTCGAACAGCAATTCGCGGACGAGGGATATCCGGTGGAAGTTGGAGCCGGTGTCGAGGAAGCTTCTCACCAAATTTGCAGATGAGCCCCACATCAGGCATGTCTGCCTGATGTGGGGCTCCACCGCAGATTTTTCGTTTGAGGCTGACTGACTGATGTTGGGGATTACTGGCCTCTTCGCCATTGGGCTATTTCGGCCGAAGCTGATGTCTTCTTTCTTCTTCTAGTCTTGGTCTTCTTTCTTGCTACAACTAATCTGATGTTCTTGTTTCTTCTTTTCTTGTTATTCTTGTGTTCTTCTTGTTCTTGGTATTTTGGTTACTTCTTTCTTCTTGTTGTTTTATTTGGGATGAATTATGGTATGCATGAGTGATATGATGGTGAGTTAGTGACAGACCAGATGAAATGGCTTGTCAGGTGACTAGTTTCTCTGTGATTTTTTTTTTTTATTATTTTTTATTTTGTCTTTTGTAGCCCGTGTCTTTTTGTTTGAATATGTGTTGGTGGGTGTCAGTTTAGCTTGATAAATGTGAGTGTTGTATGTAATGATAAGGTTTGTGATGTGTTTCTCATGTTGTATATTTTAATTTTTGTTTTATTCATTTTTATTTTATTTTATTTTTTTTTTAAAGGCATGGTTACATACATATAATAGATATAAAAAGAGTTCATGCGTGTGTCAATCATAACATGCCGATAAGATGGGTCTCCTTGAGGAAGGTTATTACTGCGTCACTTATGGTGACATTATCTTGCAATAGGTTGGGTACAGTCAGCACGAAGCCTCGCTCGGCAGCTAGGATCACCAGCTGCCGGCGCTCTGGTTCGTACTGGCTGCACTCAGTCAGAATATGTCTGATGGAGAGAATTAGGTTACAAGTGGCACAGATAGGTGGGAAGGATTTGTCAAGATAGGCCCCTAGGTGGGTCGGATAGGTACAATTCAGCCTTAGTCTGGCGAGAACGACCTCTTCCCTCCTATTCTTTCTATATGCTGAGGGCCAGTTTCCTATATTAGGCTTCCAGGTGTTGTGGAGATCCAACCTAGTCCATTCAAGTTGCCACTTTCCAAATGTATATTATTTGCGAACCCCTCCGCAGCACTGCAAGCACGCCATCTATTGTCATTCTACCCAGCACCACGAACAACGCCATCTAGGGACAGAGACAGTATGACTCGTCTTAGTTACCGCTCAGGGGTTTCCTTCTCCCTATCCTGGTTGTTGCGTCCTCTAAGTCTTCTTTGTCAGCAGCTCAGTTACCGAGGAGAGTTGACAACGGCTCAAGGAAGTGACCACGGGATCATCTATCCTCTAAACCTACGTTAAGTGACTACCGTCTTCTACAATACTCAGCCTTATAATCGGCATCTCAGGCTCCTCACTTGAAATGCCCCGTATCTTGTATTAATTTCCCCACGTCCACTTGCTTCGAGATTGTTTTATGTTTATTAATATGTATATACTGTTAATGTTTAGGTTAAGTTTGGTTAAGGGTAATTTATAAGCTGAATATTTTGTTAAGGGATTTATGGTACTCTATTATATACAACGAAAACTCGCATCCTTTGTCTACCCTTTTATAGTCCGATTGTCTTTGTTTTTTTTATTGTTGTTACCTGTTGGGATCTGGGTAGACGTATAACTATATTCTAAATCCCCAACTCGTAACAAATGGCGACCGTGACAGGACACGACCTTAAGTACCATATTCCTTCCTCCCTTGTTACTCAGTGTTAATTATTCCTCCCAGTCACTTCTGTTCACAATTGCTTTACGGTAGTTTAAAGTTTCCTTCATATGTGTGCATATATTGGTATTATCGTATAGTAAGAGTGACAGACGTAGGATATTAGGTTCCAAGTGTCATAAGGCTTACCTGTTATTACACGTGGCAGTTGTGTAGTAAGTCTTATCGAGTGTTGGGAAGAATCCGGATCTGTTTAATGCCGTACCCTCACTCCAGAGTAGGTTGTTCCATAGTCACTAGTTTACGGTGAAGTAATCTTGGGACCGCCGCTCTACCAGGACCCCATAATTATAAAGCCTCGGTGTGTTCTTCTCATTATCATTCAGGGTCAATCGCCACCACATTTATCAGGGTTATTAATCGGATCTTTTATATTAATGCCGTAATACGCCCTACCTCTTTCAAGTCTCTTATCCTTATCTCAAGGATCTTCTCAGAAGAACAATAATCTAAGTGTAATTTCCTAGGTATAACTTGAGTTGAATTTTCGGGACTTTCTGGTTATCACTTTCTTACATGATATTTTCTAAGGTTATCACTTGTCTTATCTTTGGACCATTAGTTAATTTATCCTATTTTTCTTAACAATATTTTTCTGGATTTTTGATATCCAGGATTTTGTGAAAATCCTTCGTATTAAATTACGTGTTAATATCCTGAAGAAAAGAATGAAGAAACCAGTAACTATTTTAATACTTACATTTCAGCAACTGACTAAAGGAAATGTTAAAAAATCTGTGTGATTGAAGTGCTGGTTCAACATGAAGTTTTAAAAGAATCCGCTGTTGACAGATTAACGCCCATGTCCAAGAAACTTCAACCACTATCCACCACCCCTCCTCACTCAGAAGTTGCTTCAGGTCTGGCTAGCCCTCAAGAAAAAACACAACGAATAGACGCCTTGGAACTAGAACGAGCTAGGTTCGAGTTCCAAATCAAAATGAAAGAACTCGAGTTGGAACAGGCCAAGTTGGAGCAGCAGGCCAAGCTGGAGCCTGAAGAAAGGTCGGAACAGGCCAAGTTGGAACAGGCCAAGTTGGAGCAAAAGTTTGAGCATGAGGAAATGATGGAACGGGCCAAGTTGGAGCAGGAGGTTAGACTGAAAGAACTACAAGTAAGAGAGATAGAAGTCACCTTAACATCGGAGTTTAGATCAAAAGAAGTGGCATTAAGAGAGAAACTAGCTGCTTTTAACCCTGCTACTGCTTCTTCCCTTGTTCCCGGGTTTGATGAATCCGATATGGACGGGTCATTTAGGACTTTTGAGAAAATAGCCGGGAAGAATGAGTCGCCAAAGGACCAGTGGGTGTCAGTGTTAGTTCCTAAATTATAGTAAGGCTCGTAGAGTTTATAACTGTTTTGTGACCAGACTGATGACTATGATAACGTAAAAAGAATATCCTCACCTCTTATGCTATCACGCCAGATGGATACCGGCAGAAGTTTTCGTAAACTAACCAAACCATTTTCCAACACCTTGTTGAGTTTGCTCAAGAAAAGCTTAGGTTTTTAAGAAGTGGTTAGAGGTTACAGAGACTCACATTTGGTGATTTGTTAAATTTGGTAGCGTCCTGGAGGAGTGGAAGAGCAAGATAACATTTCACATCTTGGAAGCGTGGAGGAGCGGAGAGGTTAGGCGTGCTGCTGAGCTGGCTGATGCGTACGCTTGTTGGAGTCATTACTGGGCAGAGAACGGTACTCCTGACATGTTAGGGTCTCCTCCTCTGATGATAACCTTGGGAACGTGTGAGTAGGGTCGAAAAGGTCCCACACCTACTCCGATGCAAATCCGCCAAGGTTACTTGTTCTACTGTAAAAACCCAGGCCATATGACAGAATTGTAAACACCCAAAGTGTCGAATTGCTAAAAGTAGTTCCCCTGGATCCCAAATCCAAAACCAATAGCAAACACCAATGTGGAAAGGTCTCCAGGATCTTTCATTCACCTATGAGGGAAAAAATTTCAATCATGGAGGGGTCTCGTTCTTTCCCT